GTGTTTGACCCCCTTTCGCCTTCAGAACTGCCTTAATTCTACGTGGCATTGATTCAACAAGGTGCTGAAAGCATTCTTTAGAAATCCATATTGATTAGATAGCATCTTGCAGTTGATGGAGATTTGTGGGATGCAGATCCAGGGCACGAAGCTCCCGTTCCACACCATCCCAAAGATGCTCTATTGGGTTGAGATCTGGTGACTGTAGGGGCCATTTTAGTGCAGTGAACTCGTCATGTTCAAGAAACCAGTTTGAAATAATTTGAGCTTTGTGACATGGTGCATTATCCTGCTGGAAGTAGCCATCAGAGGATGGGTACATGGTGGCCATAAAGGGATGGACATGGTCAGAAACGATGCTTAGGTAGGCCGTGGCATTTAAACAATGCCCATTGGCACTAAGGGGCCTAGCGTGCCAAGAAAACATCCCCCACACCATTACACCACCAGTCTGAACAGTGGTAACAAGGCATGATGGATCCATGTTTTCATTCTGTTTACGCCAAATTCTGACTCTAGAACATTTTTCCATTTTCCTCTGGAACAAGTTCAGGAGATTGTCTTGACCAGGACCACGCCCCTACATGCATTGAAGCAACTACCATGTGATTGGGTGATTAGATAACTACATTAATGAGAAACTGGGGTGCGTTTCCCAAAAGCATCGTTAGCCAACTATGGTCGCAAGTTGGTCGCAATTTCCATTGAACTGTATTGGTAACGACGGAACTTGCGACCATAGTTGGCTAACGATGCTTTCGGGAAACGCACCCCTGAATAGGTGATTCTAATAATCCTTTAGGTGAGTGTAAATAGATGTAAAATCTATTTTTAAAAAGCTCACAATAACAGCCCCTGTTGCTACAACAGCTATGGATAAGTCTTCCCAAATGAGGAAAAGAGAGAAAAGTTTATATTTTTTCTTGTAGTCGCTTGTTAATGAAGAGGTGTGAATAAATTCTAGACAAGTAGAGTTCAATTAAAACCAAATAAAACTCAAAAGTTTGAGCAACCGAAAAACACATCTCCAATTTATAATTTGCTTTGTGACGCGTCAAGGCTGGTCGCATTGGCCAGGTGGTATTTAAAGCATTAGGGAGCGGAACACAGATTCTAGAGAGCATTTTATTGGACAGAAAATGTGATTTTGATTTTAATTGGACAGTTCACAGTGATGTCATAAAAATCTTTTTAGAGGAAGCGAGAGACTGTAAGCTTGTAATGCTTTAAACTCCTAAGGGCAAATTTTGTCATTGATTTGAAACACACAGCTTATTCATAACCTTAAGGCTAACACATTCATACTAAAAGCTAAAAAAATTCATTTTAATTTCAGGAGGCCTTTAAGATCTTAAAAGGGCAAATAGAACCAATGTAACAATGCCACCTATGGCTTCATGGGGACATGCACCTTTATGTATTTCGGTTCATAAACATATGTCATTAACAGACATAATGTTACTATACCAAACGTAAACTAGAAAAAGCAGCTTAGTTCTGCTCTAAACTGTTCCATTAATGCTTTTTGCACAAACAACCCCACTGTCATACAAAAAAGTGTTCATAAGACAAGTTCATGAGGAACATGTTCATTTAATCCAGCATATCAGCATTAGAGGATGCATATATAGGCAAAACCACCACTAACCTCAGTCCTGAGACTGTTTTCAGGCATTCGCACCATCCCAACTCCACCTTCAGGTTTTTCTGTAACCCAGACAGGTTTCAGGTCAGGTCTTGAACTCAAATACGTTTATTTACTGTTCAATTGTAAAATCGTGAATGATCTTTTAACAATTGAGCAAATTAGAGTTCACGGCATTCTAGTTTCCACTATTAAACGGATTGCTGACAACAAAAATTAAAATTCAGTCATTATTTACTCACCGTTGTGCTTGCGTTTGTTTGGCAGTGAATGACGACCACTTCTGAGCTTTAAAAAGATGCAAAACAAAAGTATCATAAAATAATCCCATGCCACTCATGGCGAATAAGTGTTCTGAAGGCACATGACAGGGTTTAGCGAAAAAGCAAAGTGAAATGTAATAAAAAAAATGTAGCAAAATTCTTTACCTTGGCCATTGCTCTCCTGTTGCAAGAGCATTGGAGTGCCTGAGAGGCAACATTTCCCGCCAATGCGTCCACGCCGCCCAGTGAAAGCATGTGCGCTCCTTTTTCCAAAAGTTAGATAGAAAAAAGTATAGGCCTAACTTTAATTAACACATGAATGTGCATAGGTTAAGAAGAGTAAAATGACATTTTTATATTCACTCCTAGAAACTGCCCTTGTCCGCTAAGCAGTTTAGTATAATCACGAACATATAAAATTACACTTAACACTTTTTTTAAGCATGTATGACTTTGATGATGTCACTCACATCCAGGTCATTGCTCATCATGTGACTATCATTCACCTCAAAGCAGTTTTCTCTTCCTTGTTGATGAGTCAGTGCTGTAAAAGGATATCTGTCACTCATAAATCTATCCATTGTACCCTACAATCACTGCCTGAAAACGTGGGAGTTTAAGTTTAAGTCTTTTAAGGTTGAAATACGTGTCTTTACAATGTAAAGGGTAAAGTTCAAGACCTTCAAATGTGCTCATTATTCATAATACTCTCCAAACAGTTACCATTTATGTACATTCGTTGATGTAAAAAAAAATAAAGTTAGGCCTAGAAGTACTAGGAAGAATATTCTCCTAATTCTAATTTAAACCCTTCGTGATTTTATGGTTTCAGTTCACTGTTCTAAATAGATCGAGTCTGCCCTTATGAATAAAGAGCATACGCTGAAGAAGACATCGTCAATCAGATGCAACATAATGTGTTAGGTGTGATTGCGTCGATTTCAAAATGAAAAAGCATGTGAATTTCTGTTGTAAAAATAATACACAGATGTTATGGTTAGTGCAGAGCCTTTATAGTTGAAAATACAGGGGGAAAAAATCATATTTACTTCAAGAACTTGAATTTATTTTCTAGACCAATGTCATTGTACAAAAGTAAACATCTGAGAAGTGTGCCTTTATCAAGACATTTGAAAATGAACAGATGAAAATGACTGTAAAAGACATGTATAATTACAGCAGTGTATTCTTTTTTAAAGAGTTGTTTTTCCAATGACTTCTGTTTTGTTTTCAGCTTATACCTCTTTCACTCAGCTTTAACTTTCGCACATATGTTGTATGCAACCAGTAAATACTGAGCCAGTTTCTGGTTCTTTGAAAGGTATAATTTAACTAGTTGTCTCTAACCACCCCAAGCAGAACCTGTCTTGTCACAAACGAGGCTAATATCACTTGACCCGCTTATAGGCGGGGGAAGGTCAGGGAGAGGGGATTCCCCGTGACGGCAAAGCAGCAGTGCTAAAAGAAGCGAGTTCCCCTCCGCGCGCGCAGCGTTTCCATAACGTCTCGCGACGAGGAACATGTTCCCCACAACTACAGACCGCGCGATAAACTACTGGACTTCTTGAAGTTGGGAAACGGTCAAAATAAACGAGTTTTATTTTGGCAAACAAATATCACAAGCAAACACAAGCCAATTCCTCGCTCCAAAATGGAAGAATATTATCCAGGCATTTAGGTTTTACTTTCATATATAGACCCTGGTGTATGTGCTTAGCAAGAACAGCCTTATTTAAAACTTCTTTGCAGAGAAATGACTTTTTTACCGACTAACGTAACTTATTCTGCTACGCAATATTTGTCGCTATAGCTAAGCTAGTACGAACTATTCTTTTTAAATGACTGCTTTTGAACCACATTCGATCTACAAAAACATTCAGAACAACAACCGAAACCTTTTCAGTATCCTCAGGACGTCCGAACTCACACTATCCTGCTTTTCCGTAGAGCCAAGCGAGTTAAACAACTGGTTAGAATGAAGAGACCTGCGACAAAATTACCCGAGGCTATCGGTTCTCTACTTTCTCCCATTACAGTATGGGGATATCATAAGGTTGTTCCCTGGTAAGAGGTAACGGGGACACGCTTCCGCTAAAAATACCTGTCTACGACTATATTTGGATTGGCTGGAACACAATCAAATGTCTAAAATAAACGGATCCGCCCCGGCGCAATGAATGAAGGATCTGCTATCTCACACCGCTGCTAAATTTAGTAACATCGCTTGCGTCAGTCACGCGCCTCAGTGCGTCAAGTCCTCACCCCGCCTCCGGGAGCTGATCATTGGCCAGAATTAGAACGTGGCCAAGAAATTACGCGTCTTGTGATTGGCTGTTGATGATTTGTTTTTTTTAAGTATGGTGTACTCTAGCCATTCTTAATTATTTGTTTAGTGAGCACGGCGGAAACACTATGGGGTTTCATCTGAACTCACAGCCTTGTCATTTATATTTATTATTTTATTATATTTTTGTTTGCATTAAGGGAAAATTGAAATTTTGGCAAGTGACAGACTGACATTACAATTACTTTTCTGTGGGCTAGTCTGCTTGTCCAGTGGAAGCTTGCCTACCGATATTTTGTTTGGTAACTTTAAATTCACACGCGCACGTTCAAACAGCGTGTGTATTGATCTTGCACACTTTAATAAACGTGTATTATCCCTAACAATATGATTACAGTGATTATTTAATATAGTAAAAAAAAACCTATAAGACCTGCACTTGAACATTTTGCTTTGATCAATCAGGTCGGTACCAGCTAGCAAAATAAGGACATTTAAAATAGTTCCATCAGCTCTGGCATTATGCTGTCACGAATTTCATTTTATTGCGCTAATTTCCACTAGTAGACTAAAGTAGTCGACAACATGCCCTACCGCGCAATTTCAGAGAATCTCTGACAACGAATCAGAAGATTGTCCCTTGTCCTCTCTCTCTCTCTCCTGGCATGGACTGTACGGCTTATGTGTGTATACTGTACAAGCGAGGCCGGGGGAGCGCTACAGTGCAGCCTGCCGACGTCACCTCTCCCATGGCGTCACATTGACGTAACGCATTCCAGGCTCTCTATGTACAGCCAGACGCTTAAATGTGCTATTAGACTTTCTCTCGCTCAGCGCGCGCCACATAAACAAAGGCACATTGCAATTTAAGCTCAGCGCATCCTCTCCGTTAACGCCGACTCTGTTAGTGGAGCTGACAGAACCACGGAATACTTTTTTCTTCTTAGCTAAGAGGAAAATCAGTCAAATAATATTTTTAATGACAAATCCATCAACTTTTGCGACTTTAAAACCAACTTCCATCCAACCACTATTTTCAGTTTTTACAAATTTCTGTTGGATATGCACAAGGAATTATTAAGGCTTTACAAACATATGTAAAGACGGAACCTCAACAGAAATCAAGTAAGTGGGACTTTTAATTAAATACGCTTTATAGAAAAAGTGAACATTTGCCCACGCATTGAAATGTAAAATTATTGACAACATGCTTTCGCTGATTTTTGTAATTGGTATCGTTATCTCCAATCTTACATTTCTGCATGGCATTATGTTATAGAAAACTTTCTTGTCCGGACCTGTTGAATGTTCGATCCCTATACCGCGTGAACATAAACTGTGTGCGCGATGTCATTGTAGATGGATGGAGTGAATCCGAATTTAATTTGCGAAAAGTAGCCTATAACATTCTCTCAGGTTGTCATGGAAATGGGATGCCTATTCCTCACCCCGGTGAAACCGCTGTGTGAGCTCGCGCGGGGCCGGTAGAGAGTCTTGTGAGATCCGCCCGAGTAGCCTACGGAGTGAGTGTCGCGCGCTCCTCGTTTCTTAAAAGCGTGACTTAATATTGTACGTTTATTTATTTGTTTGTAGTATCTAGGTTAAGAATAATTTCAGTTGTTTGATCTAGTCTTATCAACATTGCTTTGCCACGTCTCAATGAGATGACACGAGCTTCATTCATTCTGTCTTTAAGATACGGAAGGACCAAACGTGAATATAGTGACATAGGCATTTGCACATTAAACAAATATAAACAGTCATAATGTCGTCACAAAAAAACTTAAGTTTTATATTTACCATTATCGCACTCTTGATAGGCTACTTTTAATATCAACATATTTGGAAAGCCATGTTTCCCTGCTGTCAGAAGACTTTTCTGAACAAACAACATGACCGAGTTTATACAATGTGACATATTGCAAGTATCTTTGTGGTGTTTATAATCGTGTGTTTTTGGTAATTATGAATTCTAAATTGACTCCGATATACAGAAACACGCTCTTGTTGCGCTTTAAAAAGTGCTTTCTTTCACTGCTTTTTGTGATGTGAATTTCAGATCAGCTAAGCACGCGCTCCAATGACACTTAGGCACATCTTCATAAACGTAAATGACAAAGTAAAGCTTGGTGATATAGCGGGCTATCTATTTCATTGGCAGTAGCCTACATGCATAGTGAGAGTGGTCACAGAACCGCCCCCAAGATATGATACGACAATAGCCTTGCATTGATCAGAGCAGTGATCCAAGTGAGTTGTAGGCTACACTAAAGTTTTATTCCAAAGCACGCGAGATCAGGTCACGAAGTAGCTACAGAGCCTGGTAAAGTCTCATTCTCTTTCCCTCAGGTCTCTGTCCACATCGGGTGTCAAATCCCGTCTCCAAGCTAATTTACTGTACTTGTTTCCCCCCATCCCTTTATCTCCACTCTCTCCCTTTCTTTGTGTGTTTGCTGGAAAGCCTCTATCCCGCGCGCTTATTGAACGCAGAACGGAGCGCCTCTACAAAGCGCGTGCTTCAGTGCTCTCTCGCGGTTCTCTAGGTTACCGAGGCACAAGTGAACCTGCACGCTCTGTCAAAATCACACATAACCTCAGAAGGACAACTCAAAAACAAACATAATAAAGTCTACGGAAAGCTGTCAGCTACAGGCGATAGTTGGAATGGCTATGTTTGAAATAAAAAAGCTTAGCCTATTTATGAGGCCATTCAAAATTCTATTTTTTTTATTTTTTTTTTTTTTGGCCTATGTTTCATTGTCCTGATTACAATTGCCAATTAAATCATATATGATTGTCTACAGTTTTGATATTACAAAACCAAGAAGGTTTCTAGGGTTTGTGTCTAGTTTGAGCAACGAGGAAGACCGTGCTCAATTCGAGGGCTGGCTTTGTGTGAGCGCGCCTCTGTCAGGGAGGGGGCGCTAGTCGCTTTTAAAAACTCTTCTGTGACGCGCTTGGGTTTTATTTGACCAAAGACGGGGATAGTCAGACTTCGTTGAGTGCACAGGTGAATATTGTCTAACTGTCACTGAGATTGCTATTATTCTGACCTAATGGAACAAACAAAAAACTGCATGGAAATATTTTTAATAGACGCCCAGACCTGATATCTTTATGGAAAAAAATTAAATAGTCCTTTATATATTGCATATATAGACATGTATGACATTTAGTTTTTAAACAATGTTCTTTTGTGCTGAAACAATGTGTCTTACATCACCTTTATTACCTTTTCACTTGTCGTTTTTTTTCTTCGAGTGTACAAGACAGGTTTTGTACAATTTTATTCGCACTTTTTTTTCTTTTTTGATTAATGTTGATTTGTTCCTTAAAGGCTGCGATTCTATCGTTGTTAAAGTTGTATTTGTATTATTTCTGTAGGCTAAAACAAGTAATTATCCAACTTTATCCAAATAGCCTAATATTTTAGTTTTTGTGAATATAATTAAGGATTATTTCACAGGTAATTCATGGGACTATTTAGTGTGGTTTCTGATTTAGGAAAATATACAAATGACCAGTTAGCGAATTTGTAGCCTATATAACACATTATGCATTTATTCAGTACCTTTTGCATCCAATTGATTATTGTTTAAAAAAAAAAAAAAAGCTAAGACTTATGTATTGTCGTCTTGGCTTGCACACTTGTAGGCTATTTGAAGTGGTCTTGACAATTTTAAAACAAGTTTAACCCAAGGAATATCCTATACGAAAGGTCTGAGTGTGTCTCTATTATTTTGCAGTTCACTGTTTGTGTGTGACTTTTTGTCTCGGTGAACTAAATGTGTTCCCGATTGCAGACAGCGGTTCGGAAGAGCGCCTGCAGCTCAGGTCTGAGTCCCGGCTCCCGGATCCCTCTCCCGCCGCGTGCGCTGAAGTAGCCTCCAACCCCAGACGCGTGCAGCCTCCAGCCGAGACACCGAGCACGATTCAGCGAGCAAAAGGCCAAGCAGGTACCACAATCTCTCCACTATGGAGATCTTTTCCAAACGGCTACTTGATGTGTATTGTATAGTCTATTTAAACTTTTATACATTTCTAGTTTAAAGAACATCATTTCCTACTTAATGTAAACCGACTGGTTGTAAGATAGAAAAGTTTTTGTTTCTAATTTTGAATAGGCTACCCTAGGCCTATATGCCGATGTGCGTGCTGTTATCCCCACTTTGGTTTGTCTTACTTTGGAAATATGGAAATTTCAGGAAATCTCAGGGATATAGGCTTCTTTTGTAGCTATATTTACCTGCTAAAATTGTAATAAAAAAAGTGTTCTGGTCTGCCTATAAAGCAATATGCTAATCAGTTCATATAGAGTTTTGATATTGTGTAGCCTAGTTTAAACAATTTTTTTTTTCTTAATAAAAGAGCTTGTTTGTGTTTCTAATTTTCCCGCGGACATAAATGCTAATAACCGGACCAATAACTGATTTTTAATGGCACTGTCGTTTTTCCGTATAACATTCCTTCACAAATTGCATTTAATAATAAAAAAAAAAAAAACATTATATGGCAGATAAGGCATCATTCACTTGTGTTCCAATTAATGAAACGTGCGCTATATTGTAGCTTTCATTTAATGCTTTTACCCAGTAGGATCACAACACACTGTCTTCATGGTCATAACAACCTCGTGTGCCGCTGTTAGAATACACTGTCTATGTTGTCTTAGTGCATAGAAAGTGAAAGTTTGCGCAAATCTATTTGTGCTGCCTGATGTGTTCCACTGATGCGTGTTTGCTTCAAGAGCAAATTCTTAGCGTGTCATGTGCATTTATTTATTTATTTTGTCGTTGATTTTTTGTTTGTTAGATCTATGGCACTCTGACAATGAACAAGCGATCACAGTTATTGGAACAGCTGCATTTTGTCCATCTAAAATGCACACCTCGAGGTTAGAAACTGTTTCATCCCTCTAAAGCGCTTTCTATAAGCCTGCGTGTGTGTTTGTGTGAGGCTCTCTGTCTGGTGCACGCACACACACACACACACACACACACACTCACTCACTCACTCACTCACTCACTAGAGCTGTAAAGCATCGTTTCAGTATGACTTTATGTGGTCTAGACCTTTTAAATATTTTGACTTTGTTACGTTATGTTGGCTGCGTTTTCATTTTTATGATCCGTGTCATGGTGAATGTGGAAGTGAGGTATAGGATCGACGTGCCCTGGCGTTTGCACGTGCACAAAAAAACCATAAACGGATACACACAAGAGATAGAATCAGACAGAAAGTAAATTCATGTTTTTTGTGCAAGGATTTGTATAGATTTACATTATTTGAGCTGATCTTAAGTGTGTCAAAGTGTGACACTCAACCCTTGATTGGCTACCATATTTGAGCTTAACACGAACTTAAAATATTTCCAGAAATACTCAAAATTAAGTTTATCAACATAGCTGTACTTATAACATCCTAACGTTTATTTATCCATTTATTTATTTTTTATTTAGGGGAATTCGTAAAAAAAACTATATTATTATTTAAATTGCAAGTGTAAAGCGAGAATGAGATGACTGGTCCGGTAAAACAATTGTCTTGGAAGGACATTTTTAAATCTCAACCGCAAGTTTGAAAAATATTTTTTTCTGTGTGATGTAAGTGGTCTATTCGAAAGCTTGGCTCGTTTTTGCAAATCTCCATCTAGCAATGACCTCAAACCATTCACTCAGTAGGCCCATCCATGACCATGATGATGAAGGGGTCACACCGGTCGCACCCGCCCGCCCGCCCGCGCTTTAACATCTCTGGCATAAAACTCGTCTCTTATGCGTTAAGTTGCGAATTGGAGATATAAAATGGTGTATGGATTAAACATAAGTACAGGCAACATTTGTCACGTTCTTATAGATTTGCACAACAATCTATTTAGTTTAAAACGTCTTTAATACTAGGTTAGTTGATGGTTAGCTGTGCGCTAGGGGCGCTAAAAGACTATTTGGGTTGCGCGCGAGACCACAGTTGAAAACCCTATAGCTAAAATGTAACAGAAATTATTTTAACGTTTCGCTTAAAAGTCATTTTGTAATTTGTAGCTACTCTGAAACATGTAGGACACCATTCAATTGTTTCCCCCCCTCATTTATTTAGTTGCAAACGATTAGCCTATTTTCTATTGATATCCAAATTGAATACAACAGCAGGTTCATACGAATTTAACATTCAAGCATACATGGAGAGAAATAATATAGCAACATGAGTTATCATTACTAGAATTAATAGGCCAATGTAGGAGGATAACAATGAAGTTCACTGTGAATTTTAATAGCATAAAAGTAAACAAAAGTTTGGCAATCAATTCTCTAAGGAAAGTTAAATAAATATTCTAGGTAAGCTCTGTCTGTTGATATGCAATGCATTATCATTTAAATCCAGTGGTGTGACAGAAATGTCATCTGACATCTGATGTAATTAAACTCAATGTTATCCATGATGCTATAGGCTATGCCATGCGTTTGTAGTTATATTGGCTTACGTAGGAAATGGAACGCGCGCACACCGGTCCGAGTCATCCACAGGACTGAGGCGTTCATAATTGATAAGCCTCCTGATTTTACTAAACACACATGACGTGTTGGAGGCAAAAGGATTACGGAATCACTACATGACAGCGTCAATCCGACGTTGGGTCTGTTTACACTTCCCCACCTAGGGAAAATAAGCAAACAAAGGACACGCACACACATCTCCTCACGGACTCAGGTAACGGAACAAACGCACTTAAATAGCTGTGTCAAGGCGCACACTCCGCACAGTGTAAGTTATATAACTTTGAGAGCGCGCGCTGGCAATATGGTTTTCCTAGAGCGCAAAGCTGGCTCAGGATACAGCCTGCTAATTAACAGAAACAAGGGAGTTCCTCATGAGTTTTAATAAGATCATTTTATTTCAACAGGTTTTTGGTGCACATTGAATTAATAGAGTTCAATCGATGAATATTTATCTAAAGACGTTTGATTAAAACTTGTAAGCGTTATGTTTTGAAAGCAAGTGACTAAACTCATCTTTTTCTGTCTGACCACGACTTGCATATTGTTTTGTGCAGTTTCTCATGTTTACATCTATGCATTTATATTTATCACAAGTGGACGAAATATAAGAACTGTTGATGGATAATCAAATAATCATTTGTGAGTCAATATGTGTTCTCCTTGGGTTGGACAGTGTTTGCTCACAAGAGTGGTATGAAAAAACTGCTGAGATTAAGGAAATATTTGAATAATTAGGATCATTGTTAATGAAATAGTTCACCCAGAAATTATCATTCTGTAATAATTTACTCACCCTTATGTTGTTCCAAACCCGCATGAATTTCTTCAGTGGAGATGTCATGTCAACCTCAGAAACTTTCATTGTATGTACACAAAATAAAAATCAAAATAAATAGTATGGACTGGTAATAACTTTGGGCTCCACTGAGAAAAGAAAACCATACAACATAAGTGTAAGTAAATAATTGTTTTTATTCTGCTCTTTGTAACAAGTGAGAATCCAGGCCATGAATGAGGCGTGCATTTGTTTATTTATTTTTGCATGTGTGCCCACTAGCTCACGGCCTAACCCACGTTTCCAGGAATGGTTTATCTACTAACGTGGTACTAACAGAATATTTCTCAAATGCCAAGTTTGACATCACATCCTCTGCACACCTGAAGACAAAATTCATCATATAGTAGACATTAAGTCTGTTTCTCTCTCCCCGTCTCCATAGACATGCCCTGCGTTCAGGCCCAGTACGGCCCTGCACCTCATGGGTCCAGCTACTCCGCCCAGTCCTTTGGTTACCATGGTGACTACAGCGCTGACCTCATGGCGACAGACTACGCGAAGTGTGAGCTCGGCGGGGGCGAGATCTCGGCGGCCGCCGCCACTACGTCCCTGCCCAGTTTTAATGTGTTTGTGGAGGGTGGCTTCGAGCCGAAACCCTCCTGTCTGTATCAACTCCCTCCTCAACGCCCTATCATCAAGAAGGAGGTGGAGCCTTACCCACCCATGGCAGCATCCGACGAAGCAATAGCTGGAAGCTCCATGTACTTTAAGCAGTCGCCCCCTTCAACGCCCCCCACGCCGCTTCACCCCGGGCCACCCAGCAACTCTTTCTTGTGGGATGAACACAGTCTTCCCCCTGTGCCCCAGCCTTGCTTGATTGAAGGCCCATTGAAGAGCCCTCGCTTCCCTCATTTCTACGAGCAGACGGCCCCACCGTCCACCAGCGGCTACGATGCCCCCATCGGCCTTCCGCTGCGCCCTGAACGCTCTCCGTCGTCCTCCTCTTCGTCTTCACATGTGCCGCCCAGCCTGGACACACACTCACACGTGCACTCCCATACACACTCGCACTCGCACATGTACCCGCTGAACATGGGTAAGCCGGGAGGCCTGGCGTTCCGCTCTCTGGGCATGGGCCCGTGCCCGCAACTCCTGGGAGAGAGTTTGCCATCGCCGCCCAATCGCAGCAGCTCCGGAGAGGGTACCTGTGCGGTGTGCGGGGACAACGCAGCCTGTCAGCATTATGGTGTGCGCACCTGTGAGGGCTGCAAAGGCTTTTTTAAGGTAAGAATTCAGCATCTCTGCTGGACAGAGGTCTTTCATTTTCTTATAATAACTCTCAACCAGATCAGATTCAAACACACCCAAGTTCCATCATTGTCACTACTATTTACACATAACAATCCTTATTGACACACACTTTCATTGAAAGAATCATACAACAAGTTATGTTGAATGCAAATGGGAGGATTCCACTGCAAAATAACTAACTTGCGTGTACTCAGGCCTGTAAAACTTTTTCTTTTTTTCCTTGGAACACAAAAGAAGATATTTTGAAGAAAATAAATGAAATTGAGATATTTTCTGCATTTCTGCTGTAATTATGACAAAACAGCTTGCTTTCAAACTGAGATTATTAATCATTTAAATGAATTAACCAAGATCTATTTTTTATTTCAGAAGTTTCAAGAATGGTAGTTATTGAGGGGTAAAAAAAATAAATAATTTTTAGCATTTTAATTAGTTAATATATATTAATAATAATAATTTATCCATTTAAAGACTTTTTAGTTTTCCTGTGACCCCTTTGGAAGTTTGCTGAGGTTCCTATGTGGGCCCTTGGTTGAGAACCACTGCTTTACCACTGCCCACTGACTATTTATGGACAAAAACAATTCTTCAAAATATCTCTTTTGGGTTAACTATCCCTTTAAAACACGGATAAATAAAGTGAGAGAAATATCCAAGCTGAGGTCAATTGAAACTGACAGGAAATATTTGCCAGTTACGAAATCTCTCATTTGGATTTCCCATTATGCTTTACATTTTTTCTTAGTGTTGCATATGGCTGTAGTATTTTAGAAGCTGAAGTGGGTATTTGCAGTTTATGTTGATTGATACGTGTTCCTCAGTGTGCGCTTGATTTGAATAGCATGTCTCATTGTATATTTGAGTGTGTCTGTCATTAAATGGAGTGTAAGAGGGCTGTACTTGCTCTTTATTGTACAGTGTGTGTCCGTTCTTTGTGTCTCTTATGTGTCAGTGTGGCCAGGGTAGTGTTTGTTAATTGTGTATTCATTAGTGGTCATTAGTTTTGTTCTTGGTTTGAAAGGAGCTCTTGGCTGAAGAGCCACACACGGCTCTACACCGATCGCACCTCATTCTCTGAGTGTGAGGCTCAGGGATAACCAACCATTGTAACGCACTCTGCAGGCGTTTGAACCAAGGTTAAAGCCCACCATGTGAATAGCGATTCTTCGGTGAGCTGTGTGTGTTTTTGTTGTTTCGTTTTGAAGAGGGGGTTGGGGGTTACGGTCTACATGACATACAAGAAGCATTTGAGGCTGTACAGAAAATAATTAGTGCACAAAATCCGAAAGATTGTTTAGTTTCAGTTTCAGAGGCACAACTGTGACAGGTTTGCTCAGCCTTTTCATGAAAGCATTGGCTTGTGTGTACTGGGAATGTGTGTGTGCATGTCTTTGAGTGCTCTCACAAATCGTCTGAGCGGCGGTTGCCACGGTGTCTGTGAGGGTCGTTTCCCTCGGTGACCAGTTAGAGGTGTGACAGCGGCGCGCACTTAAAATACAGCAGCTCGGAGCTGTAGCCAGAAAAGCACACACACACACACACTCACACTGTGGATAGTCTGCTGCATAGAAAGTTTCGATAGGGATTTAATTGAACAGTTATAATATTTGGCATTTATTTCACATGTTTTTTGGGATAAGTAGGCTATTATTTTTCATTTGTTTAGGTTAATATTACAGAAACCGTGAGAAGACTTAAAATATACAGAGACCGTGCTAAAAGACTGACAGTGAAAGTGAAGGAGTGAGAGTGGCAGAGCTGAAATAATTGAAAATGCCCCGTGGTCTGGTGCAGAAATAAATTATGCCTCTTTTCAATTAGTTTCACAATTAGTTTTTATTTAGTAATTAATAAAAGCAGGGGTTGTTAAGCCTGAGGCTTTGTAGCTATTACAGCAACACTGACACACACACATGACATCCACAAACAATGACATATGCACATTGGCAAGTCTAGACGATCAGCGTACTTATTTTTTATGCATTCACACACTCGTCACCCCAACTCGCAAAACACACTCACAGTTTAATTATCTCAGGCAACTCATTAACTCACAATATAAATATTAGCTGGTGAATTTTAATGCAAGCCGGTGTTTTGTGTGGCAGTGTATAGCTTTTGTCAAACTGCTAACTCTCTTTAAAAAAAATTCTCATAAATGTGTTTTTGTACAAAAGGATTTATTGTGATATTTATGCACATTGATTTCTAGTACATTAGTTTTTGAAATAAAATTTAAATGGAGCGTGGATGCATTTATCCACTAAAATTATTCACATTCTTCCCAGCATGGCTTTAGTTTTGTTCATTAACAGCCACTAAATCATTTCACTTATGATTCTACTTTACATCTGAATACAAACTGTTTCACAATGAAAAACAGAAAATAATTGGCAAAATCTTTTCTCTATCTTGCTCACATCCCTCATTTATTTGGATTGTAATTTGCTCTGTGACTCATAACGTGCTCTGAGTGAGAATATTTATTCTGAATATTTACCTAATGGAGGGTCAGCACAGGCTCGCTCATTCACAAAACCTCCACATTCACTGGAATAAAAGTTGAACGGCTCTTAACTGCTAGGAACTGAATAAGAAGTCATCTCCAGCACTTTCCTTTAAGCTTTGCATTTGTTAAAACAGTTTCAACAAAGACAGATGTGCATTTGTGCCATTATTGTGGCATTTATAAAGTGCTGAAAAATAAACACACTAAAATGTGCTTGATTCACAGACGTAGTCATTTTAAAATACAGTCTAAGTGAGCAATACACGCAGACACACATACTTAACCAATTAATGATGACCCAGTTCCACCTCTCCTATTGAACAGCCATTCACACACGTCTAATTACACACCCAGAGGAGAGGACGAGAGAAGATAGTCTGATCATCTCTGATTAGGGGAGGAGAGGACGAAGAGAGGGGGATATAGGTTCCCTAAGGGGTTTTAATGCACGACAGAGCCATTAGCACATGTTACATGTCATGAATCCACAACTGCTTGTCTTTTCCAACCCTACGGACCCTGCTGTGCACTGGACCACAGCTCTGTGTGTGTGCGCGCGTTTGTATATTTGTGTGCTTGCAAGAGAGAAGGATGGGAGTTAGACAATAGCAGTGGGTTTTAAGTTTTTCATTAGGAATTTATGGTTTCATGAAGAACCTTTAACACCTTTTTGAGTTTCTTTATAGTGAAAAGGGGTTCTTCTGGTTATTAAAATGTTCAGAAAAATGGTTCTTCTATGGCATTGCCGTGAAAAGCCTCTTTTGGAATCTTTATATTTAATGGAGTGTAGTGTGTGTTTTTCAGGCCTAGTTGTTGCCATTAGTCTGTTGGGAGAAATTGATATATGTGTCTGTTCGTAGAAGTTACAATAACCTCAGATATCCGTTTCCTATTGAAAAAAAGTCGGAAACCTATTGTAACCGTGACAATTTTGCACTGTGACATCGTTTAGAGCATAAATAAACACAAAAATACACATGCACGTACACACACAGAAGACGTTTCAGTCACTTAACGGCCGTCATATGTACAGCGGTTTATCTCATTTCATGAACATCATGAGATGTCTATTCATCTCCTGCAGCAATAAAACCTTTGTTTTGAGGACTGTGACAGAACAGAATCTGTCACAGTCTGAACCGGCTATGAAGTATAGAATGGAGTTGCACTCACATAACTCGTGCATGTGGTTCAGAGGGAAAAGGCGAGGTGGCTGCTTTTTTTCCGACTAAGCCCAGGGTGTTTTCGAGATGATATGCTCCACAGGTTGTATTTTAATCAAGTCATACTGAATCAGTTTGAATTTAGCTGTAACTGAGTATAGACTCCCCTAGCTAACAAGAGCCTTTGCGTGCCCACTGGGAGATTAGTCCACTCTACTATGCTGCTGTGGTTTTGTGTTCAATTTAGGTGAAATACAAGAAACCGTGCAAATCACATGGATAATGTGTGTGTCTGTGGGTTGGTGGGTGTTTTAGCTTCACCTGACTGTAAAATTCCAGCTTCCTGGGAAAAGCAGGTGGTTTAGTTGATTTCGTTTACACCTGTTGGAAACAGCTGCGTATTTTATGTTTCTTTATAGTTTTTAATGAAAGTCTTTTTAATAAAAAAACAAAAATTAAAGTGCGATTAAGCTAAAAAAATACATGACAGAAAAGTTGAGTGGGCCGCTAGCCATTAGCCGCTAGTCACTTGACATACAAAGATGTTAGTGTTAAACTTTAAGATAGAACATTATGAAATTCATAGATTACCATGATGAAGGCTATGTTTCCCACTTCAGTTTAACTAGCAGCCTTGCTAATTGAATAACTGCACAATGAAACCAGAATTGTTGATGTACTATTAAATTGGACTGCAGTTGTAGCTTGTTAAAGCATTGTTTTTGTTTGTTTTAGATATTACATTAATTACCGCAGAACTTACTGGTCTCACGCAAGTGCTTAATCTTTTGGCTCAGCAGTAGCACGTGCATTTGATGTCTGAACCTGAAGCTTATTTGAAGACTTTTTCCTCTTTTCTACTGTTTTTAGCGGCGGGAGTGCTCGCAGATCATTTTTATTTTGTTTTAATAAGGTCAGTAATAATCGTGCATATCCAGCCGAGGAGAAAACAACTCCAGGGGGGGTTATTGCAGAGGCACGATCTGCCAAAACCCCGAGGTGCCGTGAGCTGACCCGCGAGTTTCACAAACAATTTTATCACGCGGCACGGGATGTCTCGCGGGAGCGGCCTCAGCACGCTTTGCACTGATCTTCATTGTCAGTGGCTTGCGCTAATAAAATTGTCCCTCCTGCAGGCAAGGCATGTTGGGAAATTAATTTTTATCTAATTATCCTGATGGAGCCTGAGCTTTTTCACATTGTAATTAAAATCTGACCTGCAAGCTTCTTTTTTAATTCTTAGCCAAAAAAACGGGATCAAATTAAATAAATGAAATGTTTAGACTTGTTAGCTTATTGTTTTCTTCTCCTTCCTTTTTCTCTTTTTATTGTCGGTGGCTGCAGAGGACGGTGCAGAAGAATGCAAAGTACGTGTGTTTGGCCAGTAAAAACTGCCCTGTGGACAAAAGGAGAAGAAATCGCTGCCAGTACTGCCGCTTCCAGAAGTGTCTCAGTGTAGGCATGGTGAAAGAAGGTATCAACCACTGACACACACACACTCTCACACAAACACCTATAATATGTGTCTGGCCAAACCACTCAAGACAATTATCACACAATAGGCCCTGGTGTATATGACCTCGGCTGGACCTCTGGTTAGAGAGGAGATAGACACTCTTTATCTTAATGACTTAAAACGCACAGATGCACACACTACGCTCAAGAAGCAGCGTGGATTAATACCAATTCAGGGCATAGCTGGTTTAGTTGCTTAGTATGAATACATGAATTAAACTATAATGGAGGTGTTTACCGGCAATGCTTCGCCTCTGCAATCACAGCATATCAGCAGCTTCAGAACCGGTAATGACACAACACACAGGACAGTCACAAGCACACATGTTCACGGGGAAATTTAATTCTTGTTGAATGTAAGCATGAGTAGCATGTGGTTTTAAAAAGATCACACCTTTAGATTATCTTAACCACCTCGGCCGGTGATTAGGTCGGACATGCATTAAATCTCACATTCGCTCACCCAGTTCCTCCAAGACCTGCGGTCAGGCAGCTTTCAACTGCCCCCTACTGGTCAGTCAAGCATTGTTGAGAGACATTTGTTAAAAAGGTGTGTTATGAAGTGTAGGTGTCAAATAAATTGTTGCTGGTTGTGGAATTGCATTATATGATTTTAAAACTGTGTTCATTCATTGTCTAAACTGTTTTGTTTGTGTGTTTGACACAGTGGTGCGCACAGACAACCTTAAGGGGAGGAGAGGTCGCTTGCCGTCTAAACCAAAGAGTCCCCTGCAGCCAGAGCCCTCGCCCCCATCCCCTCCTCTCAGCCTGCTGAACGCACTAGTGCGGGCCTATTCCCAATCTACACCACGAGAACTAGACTACAGTCAGGTACCTGAGTGTGGGGAAATACTTGCGTCAATTAAGGCTGATTTTCACAAATCATTGTTTAACCGTTGGATACATGAATTATTAAATTACAGAAAAAAAAATCTAGCTTTATCAAACAACAATATATTTGATTTAATTTGATTTTATTACATTTTACCCAATCAGTTAAAAAGATTTGAACTTTTGTGTACTGCAATAAATGACAGTAAATACTCTAGACACGCTTTTGTCATCTATTTTGAATTTATAAAAATGTACAAAAACAAAACCATACTGAAGAGGATAGTCATTTAGAACTATGAGAAAGATGGTCACTGATGATGGAGAAGACCCAGCATCTTCCCCTAAATTGTTAGTGGTTGTAATGAATCAGAAGGTTCACCGACCATTGTTATCACATGAAAATGGGTAATTGTGATTTGTGTGGAATTTTTATTTCTCTCTCTCTCTCTCTCTCTTCCTGTAGTTCAGTGCGGTGGAGCCAGTGGGTCTATCTGAGTCTCAGCAGATCCAGATGTTCTACAGAGTGCTAACCGGCTCCATGGAGGTGACGCGCTGTTGGGCCGAACGGCTGCCTGGATTCTCTGAGCTTCACCACAATGACCAGAACCTGCTCATTGACTCTGCCTTCCTTGAGCTTTTTGTGCTTCGCCTTGCCAACAGGTAATTGCAGACACACACACAGATCTCACTCAGTGTATGACTCTGACTTCAACACAATCTTCAACATACATTAAGACATCCATAAAAAATAGAGCTGGGCAATAAAGTAAAAAAAGTTGCATTCTCGTTATATTCTGTATGTATCTCAATATTTATGCATTTAAAGGGTAAGTTCACCCAAAAATGAAAATTACGTCATTAATGACTCGCCCTCATGTCGTCCCAAGCTCGTAAGACCTCTGTTTATCTTCGGAACACAGTTTAAGATATTTCAGATTTAGTCTGAGAGCTTTCTGTTCCTCCATTGAAAATGTGTTCGCTATACTGTCCTTGTCCAGAAAGAAAATAAAGACATCATCAAAGTAGTCCATGTGACACCAGTGGGTTAATAAGAATGTTTTGAAGCATCAAAAAGTCTTCCGGTTTTGTTGTTCTGTTGTGGGCCGTGAGATTTCACGTGTTGACACAACGCACAGTCACTCGTAGGCTCACTATTGGCCGACACGTGCCGCACAAGTCCTCAAAAGTGAAGCCAAAATGTCTCAATCGCCCCCCAGTGACCGGTCCTAGTATACTGTAGGTCATAAACCCCGCCTCCCATGTTATTTAACAGGACGTGAGACCAGCTAAACAATTAAATTACACTTCACATATCTTTTTTCCAAAGATAGTTTCTGTCATTTACTGTAGTTTCTATCACGTTGATGTAATTTCAAGTGTTTGTTTTTTAGTTAGTTATTTGATGCTATAAAAATGGTAGCATCAAATAACTAACTAAACTGTAGTCCCGCTGTTAAATAATGTAGTCACTCGGACGATTTCAAGGATGCCGGCCAGTTTCGATCCCTTAAGAAGCCTATGGAGGAGTGATCCAGCTCTCAGATTTAATCATAAATATTTTAATTTGTGTTCCGAATATGAAGGAAAGTCTTACGGGGTTGAAACAACATGAGGGTGAGTAATTACCGACAGAATTTTCTTTTAGGGGTGAACTAACCCTTTAACTAATATTGATTAAAAGGCTATTTTTTCATGCAGAGGTTCAATGTCTTTACTATTGTTCACTAAACAATATGAGGACGAATTATATATAATGTAATTTGTAATCTGTACAATGTATTTCAAACAAAAGTTTGAACTGATTTACAGGAATGAATTCAACTTTAATTGCCTTTTTTCTAAAGTTGAATCTGAGATGCCAAATAGTGCATCAGAATCATCAAAATATTCACAATGTTGCTTAATATTATATTTTAACACCAATATATCATTAATATTTGCTATATTGTCAAGCCCACTTGCAAATACTCTGTATAATATAATATAGAGAATAAAGCCTGTGATAATATCCTAATTAGTCATTTTCAGTTCTGTTCAGAATGGGTACAGCTGTGGGAGGAAACGTTAGTTAGCAATTACACTCTGACTTTACACTCATAATATCTCATAGAAACTGTCAGACTATGACATGCTTTTTGTTTTCTATGACTTGCTATTAATGATGTCGTAGAAGTCTCTTAGGATTTTCTTTCTGGTTTAGAAATTAGATCGAGGTTTAAAGTTTCATAATGACTGAAAGAATTTATTCACAGGCACTGTCAGGATTTATATTGTGTAATATGCTGCAGTCGCTACTAGTTACATTGTGACTTTCGATGCAACAATGAGTGTGTGAGCGTGAGTGTGTGTTCTTCTCTCTATTCAGCACTGTAAGGTTACTATGGACACTGTGTGGAAGATCCTGTGGAATTCACCTTATTTAAGTTTATTGGTTAACAGCCTGGCTTAAAGGGTTAGTTCACCAAAAAATGAAAATTCTGTCATTAAATACTCACCCTCATGTCGTTCAAAACACGCAACACTTTCTTTCATCTTCAGAACACAAATGAAGATCTTTTTGATGAAATATGTGAGCGTTTTGTCCCTCCATAGACCGCTACGCAACTACTTTGACACTTCAAAAAGTTCATAAAGTGATTGTAAAACTAATTCATGTGAATTGAGTGGTTGAGTTTTAAAATTTTCTGATGAACAGATTGAGTTTAGGCTTTTATTCACATATAAACATTCAGAATTTCTGGTATACGGAAGCTCAAGCATGTTTGTTTGGCCAGCAATGCATCATTTTTCATTCTCGTGTGTTACACAGCAAGTTTGAGTTCCCGCAAGAACCAATGAGGTTTATTTTCGCGTGTTACGCTGCACGTTTCTGCAAGAGGCTTGTTCTCGCGCATCAAGCAAGTACCGTTAAACTTCTTTGTGTAGCTGTCTATGAAGGGACAGAAAGAAAAAAAGATCTTCATTTGTGTTCTGAAGACGAACGAAAGTCTTATGGGTATGGAACGACATTAGGGTGAGTAATTCATTTTTGGGTGAACTATCCCATTAATCACCTGCCAGTCCCAAAAGACTCACCTGTGGCAGTAACAGCTCTGTTTGATGCTTAATTATATAACATTCCCCAAACTCTTGCATATCATTAAGTTTGAACGAGACAGTTTAAATCCAGACTAGAAGTAACCTGTTGTTTCTTGAAGTGTGTGTTTGGATGTGTCTCTGACTCAGTGACGTTCTGATGTTGCTTTAACAGGAAGTGGATTTTTTGTCTCAGCTCAGCTGCTCCCTGTTGAACTAGCTCTGGTGCTCTTTCTGTGTTTCTCTCTCCCTCTGTTTCTCTGATGGTGTAGGAGCAGGTGCGGGGAGGGAGGGCAGTGGGTGGTGGCGTCACAGCCTCAGTAGGGAGCTGCAGACTTGGGTTGTGACTCATTTAAGTGGGGGGATTCATCCGGGCTTACGTCATGGACACTCGAAAAACTCACAAGATACGCGCTCACAATGTGTGGCGACTTCACAATATGGGCGAACTTGCACATTTTCCACTCACAAACGTTCACAGTTCTCACATGTTTTGCAAATAGACTCTACACCACTAAAACACACACCAGAGAATGGAATCTGATGTGGCTCACAAATGCACACATGCAGATATCTCACCTCGCGGCCGCATTGAGGCTAATGAATGAATGGATGGCAAAGAGATCGACTTGCTCTGACGCAAATTTAAAAGGAATGTGTGCGTTTCCGTCCTCAAGGGTGCTGTTGTTAATTTTGTTTTGTAATAATGAGGAGCTTTCACTCGGCCTGTGTTTGCTCACTTCCTGTTTTCCTTCTTTCTCTATGACACTGTAGAGCCTTCATAAAGGGCCCTGTCAGTGAAGGATACATCCAAGAAAGTGATTTCGCTGTTTATGATCATGTGATCTTGGGTGGTGCATCATCATGATTCATTTTAAAGCAAGGATAGTTTTTCTTACCTGCTATTCTAAAAGGTTTTGGAAAGAAGTATATCATGCTGACCAAGGCTGCATTTGTTTGATAAAAATATATTGCAAACATTTTTTACTATTTTTACTATTTTTTACAAATTAAAATGATTGTTTTCCATTTTAATGTATTTTAAAATCTAATGTAATCCTGTGATGGTCAAGCTGAGTTTTCAGCGTCATTACTTCAGTCTTCAGAGTCACATGATCCTTCAGAAATCATTCTAATATAATGATTTGGTGCTCAAAAAACATGTCTCATTATTATCAATGATATCCTGTTTAATATTTTAATATAATATTCAAAAGAGCAGCATTTATGTGAAATATATATTTTTTTATAAACAATGTAAAAATCTTTACTGTCACTTTGATTTTTTTTTGAACTTTGAAAGTTTTAATATAAGAGGCAACATTTCAATATTTTATATTATATTTATTTGCTATATCAATCTTAAAGTTATTGTTCACCCAAAACTTTAATTTCTTTCATAACTGACTTACTCTTGTGTTAGTCAAAAATCAATATGTATAAACAGGCTAACAATAATTTTATTAAAAATACAGTCTTTAAGAGCTTTAACCATAAAATTTGCTGCTGTTATCAAGGTAACTTTCCGTGACATACATCTTCATGTAGGGTATTCCAGACGCCCACATACAAGCGAGTAGAGCCCTTCATAGTACTTGCGTCAAGTGCTGTACTGGAATGAATAGGCCAGGCAAAGTGATGCTCACTTTCCAATATAACATCATCAGCGGCTTGTTTAAGGGTTCTGTACATATGCATTCAAGTGTAGTGGCGTAAAACCATTAGACTGCATTAATGAAGCACATATTTGGATTATTTACCCCACTGGGTTTCAAAAGCAACTTGTAAGATGACTCTCAAATATTCCTCCTCGCCATACTTCCCTTCATCCTCTTCCCATTACTCCTCCTCTCATCTCCTCGTCTACACAAGTGTGTGTTTTCGTGCAGGCTAATGAAGAACAGTTCATGCAGCAGAAGCCAGCACTCTACTGGAAAAAAAAGAGAGGAAGTTTTTCTTCCTAAATTGCAGGGTTGAGAGCGAGAGAGGATGAGTGGATGGAGAAGGAGAAGAAAAAGAAGAAGTGAGCGACGAATGAGTGGAGAGCGAGTGTTTGGGTGTTTCGCTGCAATTACACACAAACGTTCTTCCTGAGAATACAGTGAGACCATGAAGATAAAAAAAGGACTGAGAGAGAGAGAGAGAAAGAGTATATAATCTCAGGAATGTTTTAAAAGCTTTAATTGGGAAAGCTTGGCATAATTAGGTCCATTCCTATCTTTGATGTGCTCTTCCCTGTACTGGCTTTCATTTGTCGCTATGGTAATTGTTTCCGTGCAGTATGTCTTAAACACAGATTCAGCGGCCAATCAGGGCGCAGATCATCATCACATGAATCAGAGAGAGGTGATAATCAGCATGTGTGTGTGTCGCAGCAGAGACTGTGTGTGCTTTCTGATAGCGTGTGTGGCTACACACAGAATTAGAGGTTTGCTAAATTGAAACAGGTACCTGTTCTGAAGGGAATGAGAACGGCGATTAATTAAAAGATGAAAGGCGGCAACTGAACTCGTGGCTTCAAACAGCACCTTGAAGCAGTATAAATAACAACAGTTCTTCATCTAAACCCCTCTCTCTCTCTCTCTCTCTCCCTGCTCAGGTCTTTGCTGGCGGACGAGAAGTTCGTGTTTTGCACGGGCCTGGTCCTGCACCGGCTACAATGTCTGCGTGGCTTCGGAGAATGGCTGGACTCCATCCGAGACTTTAGCGCTCACCTGCAGGGTCTCAACCTCGACATGCCTGCGTTCTCCTGCCTGTGTGCCCTAGTGCTGCTCACAGGTAACACACAACCTCAGAAACACACTCTCTATGCATTTCACACATTCACTTCCTGTCGTTTCCTTCTTCCTGTTGTCGTTCGTTCTTGTTTTTGTATATTCACACCCCTTTTGTCCGGCTGGGGCAGGTGCTGTCAGAGATTAGGTTTACCTGGACAGCAGAAATAATCCCCCATTAATCACACACAGCAGAGACACAGAGATGGTGTGAGGTTTTTGTGCCTCTCCTCTGAGCACAGGTGGAGTTAGTTGATTATTGGTTGACAAAGTAGGACAGTGTGTGTGTGTGTGTTTGGGTCAGCAGGTGCTCGAGTCTTACCATGCATTATTAACACAGAGGCTAAACAGCAGGTCGACCTATATACAGACCAAAACCTTTCACCACACACACACAGAAACATGGGCACATTCTGGCAAGCATTAAAAGAATTGGAATTGGCATAAAAAGTGCTGGCCGATTCAAATAAAAAAATGTCCATAAAAAATAAGGTGACGTAGTCACATTGTTCAATTAATATTAACTACATGTACTTACTATAGAGTTACGGTTTGGTTTAGGGTTATTTACTTGTAATTATGCAGAATTTACTGTTATTACTATATGTAGTAACTTGTAACTACGTCACCTTAAAATAAAGTGTTATCAACTACTTTTACGCTTACTTGTTTTTTAAGAAAAACAAATTATGATGGAAACACTTTCAAAAAAGTCATGTCACTCAAAGATGAAACTATTACATGGGATAGAAACATTGCTTAATTTTCAATTTGTTTGTGTGCAATATTCAGATTTTTAGCGAGTCATGAGTGACTGAATAATTCTCTTAGAGAAGAAAATATTAAACAGGATAGAAACACTGTTTTTTTTAAATTGCACTATTCTGATTTTTGCATTAATTCAAGTCATGTGAATGAATAATTCGCAAATATGATGCTCATCTATCAGATTTCTCACATAAAGTAAATTCACAGCTTGAATGGAAACATGCTAATGTAGGTAAAACATTTAAACAATGTGAAATCTAAAGAAGATAATAAATTACATTGTCGCATTCTATTACTTCTGTAATGCAACATTAAAACTACATATTTAATGAGGAAAAAAGTGAAGCTAATGTAAAAGCGGAATCGTTTCAGATGAAATGCAAGATAATACACTTATAAAAACTATTTACACTTAATACACTATGTTTTTTACACTATAAAATATGTGTTTTTTTTAATCTGGAATAACATGCACCAATGAATAATAATTCTCAATAAAAACAAGAAAGTGAATAGAAACCGTTTTGATCTCATGTTGACATTAAAGACCACAAGAAAACGAAACTAATGATTTAAAAATAAAAAAGATGTATATGTTAATCAGTTTACTCAGTCACCCACACAGCACCCAATCTTCACCTCCCTTTTCTCTGCCACACACTCTCTCGGTGTGGGTGTGTGTGTATGTGTTAGCCCCTATGGAGCAGCACTTAACTCTGTAGAGGAATTGAGTGCTACTCAGCAGAGCTGTAGTCCCTATCTCTCTCTCTCTCTCTCTCTCTCTCTCTCTCTCCCTCTCTCAACTCCTCCACTCAGTCTATCGACCCTCTAAAAGTGTCTGTGGTGAAAGAGTGCCATCGATCATCCCCTAGGAAAGAGGGAGAGACAGTGAAAGCAAGGGAAAAAAACAGCGAGAGTGAGAGAGCACGTAAGCTGAATGCAGTGACAATGGAGCAGCTCTAGATATAGATTTGGAACACACATAGATATATCCAAAGCAAGCCGGCCCTTTGCACTTCCTCTGTTCTAAAGCCATACATAGAGAGTCCCACTAGACTGCTGATAAGGGATGAGAATCACAAGAATTTTTTATTTATTTATAATATTTAATATTAATTTAATTGAATGTAAAATGAAATATATATATTGAGAGCATGTCATTTGTTCATGATTTGAACTGCCATAGGCACTCAATATGTTTAGTGATTCATCAGCATCAGTGATCTAAATGTCAAGAAAATCATTTGGATTCTGTACTTAAAAAAAAAAAATGGAACCGGAAATGAATAAAAAATGGTTCTAAATTGCTACTGTAATACAAATTAAGAGTACATAAGTCATGTGTCTTTATGGGATGTTTTTTTTTTTTTTTTACTCAACCTCTTTCCTCTCATTTTAGAACAATGTCCTGGTCTAAAGGAGCCCAAAAAAGTGGAGGAACTGCAGTCCAAACTAATCTGCTGCCTGCGAGATCATCTGAGCTCGGTTTGCGCAGGAGGTGTGGCTTCAACTGGCAAGGCCACACCCCCAGTGGGAGCTGTTCTGGGCTTGAGGGCGGAGCTTCGATCTCAGCGTACGCAAGGCTTACAGAGGATCTTCTACCTGAAGCTTGAAGACCTGGTCTCACCCCCGCCACTCATCGATAGGTTTCTGGACACCTTGCCCTATTGATATCCACGCCCACTTTTGCAGACCACTGACACGCCCACAAGCTCATTCAGACACGCCCACAGCAGCTATAAACTCACCCTGGGAAGGGACGGAGCCAATAGCTAACAGCGATACTGAACTCGATTTCCCACGAGTCCCCAAATCCTCACAGGAAGCAAACGTGTCTGAGGAGAAACCAATCATATAAACGCTTTTAATCTCTGCTCTGCGCCTGATAGTGTAGATACGAGGCAGGGTTTGAGCTTATCTGACGTAACACGCACTGGGAACGAGAGCGACGCCTATAGCTCAGTGTGCCACGTCAGGATGGAGAAGTATTACGATGTGAGAATGTGTGTAAGTGCGCACGTGCGTCTGAGAACGCACACTTTACGGCTCCTTTGCAGGCGGTCCAAAAGTTCCACCACAAGAATCCACCTCAATGACAGCAGTTGTGTTCATCACAAACATACACTCACAGACACACAAGAGCACGCGAACTGTCCTTTCACACATACGCACGGATCCAAAATGGCAGCTTCAGGTGCCAGATTATGACGTATCATCTGTCGTTGGCAGAAACGAAGTGGATATGTGTGTGTGAAAACATGTAGGAGTGTCTCTGAGGGAGGCTTTCGCCACAAAGAGTGCATTAATGTCCAGAATCACAGTTGATCGCACCCCAAAAACCTGCAAACAAGTGCAATTTACTAAGTGCTATTGTAAATGACGAGAAAGAGAGGAGAGAATGAGAGAGTGTGTGTGTGTTTGTTCCAGTCCTATTTCAAACTCTAAATTATTTTAATACTAAGACTCGCCTTGTAAGGTAATGGTTTCAATTGAGATGATTTAGCCCAGTCTGCGCACTAACTTTTGAAAGACGAAGTTCCACAGACTTGAAATTACTTTAGTTTTCATTATTATTGTTATTACTATTATGAAGAAAAAAAACAAGGGATATTAGCATTAGGATAACAAACTAAAAAGAATAGAATTGGGCTTTGAGCACTTAAAAAACAGGAAGAGGAGGAGGATAAGAGAGGGCCAGTGAGATGCAGGTGCAGAGAGAGGATGGAAGGAATTAAACATTCCGCATTCGTGCTCATTTTTGTATGTTTATACTGTCTTCACCATTTATTAATACGGAGGACATTGTTGCAAAAATGTCTTTTATATGTACAACAAAAAAGTAAAAACGGATTATATGCATGGTTTTCTCCTTCTCGCCTGTGCTTGTATTTATTTTGCAAAGACTGCCGGCTCAACAAGGGCTTGAACACACGTACTGACTGGGCGTTCTCGCTTACTTTATCATATGGCAGCAGTTTGAACAGATGAGAAAGTACAAATTATATAAATATATAAATATATATATATATATACACAATACAAAACTAATATTTTGAAGTGTTTTTATCTGATAGCTTTTTCAAATCTTGTGGTACAAGTTGTGCATTGTTTTTTGGAGAAGAAACATGACAAAAAAAAACATGTTTTTCAATGTCTCTTGGTTTGTTTAGTTTTTTTTCTCTTTGGTTCACTGGAGGCTCTGTTCAGCACTTTGAAATCATAAAAAAACCTTCTGATTATTTGAGTGGAAGTGTCGTTTTTCTGTTCACCTCAGTGTTAAAGTGTCAGAAGTGTTTTTCTCTTGAAGCTTGTGTTTGTTGCTGCGACTCAGGATGAGGCCGAGGGACTCCCCCTTTGTAAAGTTCAAAAAGCGTTGACGCGCCAGGTGTCCTTACTGTCTAATACCATCATTCTGGTCAAGGTCCCCTCTGCATTGAGCTTCAGGTACGAGATTGAGCTCGGGGACGGATTCAGATCATTTTGGGGGATTCTGACCACATCAAGCCCACAGTCCTCGTTAAGCCACATCGATCCATGTTGTGACATTTCGGTGCAGAGGCGCACTCGCACACATGCACGCTGACACGGCTGCTCTTTCTCTGTCTTCCTCCATCACCCTTCTAATTTGTCTTGGATTGTCGAATGCAAAGCTGAGCATGCATGAGCATACATGCACATAAACGGACCCAATACACACACACTATTTATAGTTTTGACAATAAGAGATAGTAAGAAAAGTCTTGATCACACACGCACACACAAAGGACATGTAATCGGAGGATATTGATTATAACTATGATATATATCTAATAAATACATAATACATTTATTATTATGTATAATTATTTGTGAAATCTATAGCACACACATATGTGTGTATGTACAGTATATTGTATATTTTATATATCAAGCTTTCAGAGGATGTTATAAACACTCTCACGTTGGCACACACACACACACACTTAAGACAGGTGGATGGTAGGTTGGTGAAGCTGTCAGTCTGTAAGTGGGCAGATTGATTCAGAGTGACAGGTAGCCGACCCCCCTGGAGTCTTCATTAAAACCCTGTATTAGAGCTGCAGGGGAGAGGCACACACACACACACTCCTCATTTCCCTGTAAGTATGGTGTGGCGTGTTTGTGTGGCTCATGATATATTGATTGGCTGTTAGCGAGTGAGTTGAGGGGATCAGCAGTGCTGGACTCACACTGTGGAGACTGGAAACAAAGCTCTAGCGGAAGAGCGGGACTGGTGGTCACACACACACACACACATGCAAATCATCTCTAATGCCAAAGAGCACATTTGCATTAGTTCAGATCATTTTATAGAACTATTTCAAAAAAATAAATAAATTTAAAGTTTAGTAAATACAAGATTTGTCAGCTTATTTATTGATGCTGCTTGATTCTAATATGAAATGAAAAATAAATAAATAAAGGTTTATATTAAAAAAAACTATTTTATATATTTAGTAATACTGCTTGAGAGAATATTCGAGTGGTGACAAAAGCTCACACCAACAGTTATGACATAACATAAAATTGCTGGTCAACATGACAGACTTTCTAGTAGATGAAAAGTGGGCAAAAGATCAAATAGAATTGCATTGAAAGAGAAACCTGAGCCATATCTAACAGTTGCAGATCCCATGTACAGGAATGAACTCTTTTGCAGACACCAAGAACAACACAGCAGCTATGAAAACACTCAGAATGCATGGCAAAACACCTCAGCACTGTGTGTTGCACAGGCAAACACCAATCGCATGTTCTTCAGAAAATGTAAACATTTAGTTCTAATAGATTTTAAACAGCATGACGTTTAAGTGTAGGCTGCACTGCCCTGTTTGATCTGTGAGGGGTATTCCAGATACTAATCTCATCTGAAATAATGTGGTCTGGCCTTTTGAGTTTTAGGGTTCAAGTGAAGATGATGGTGATATGATGAAGATTGGTCCCTACACAGACACATGGTATTACCCTGCTACAGTGGGACTCCCCCTCGGCCGGTAGGGGAGGGACATTCTGGGGAGATGGAGAGCGCTGCTTCTTGTCAAAAGTTAAGGCGGATTTGTAAAGACTGTTTCGCTGAACACACTGCAGACTGCCAGGTTGTTAGGTTCAGATTCTCCCCTCAAAAGCCCTTTTAGATTCCACCACAAGCACTTTCAGTTTTTTCCATCCTCCCACTCCTTCTCTCTGCCTTTATGTATCTCACGCTCTCTTTTCTCTATGTCTCTGCTCAATCAGTGTTTTATCGATATTTAAGATCACGCGTTCGTGTAAGTGTAAACACACACCCTGATCGAAAGTTTGGGGTTGGTAATATTTTTGGTAAAATGTTTTTTTTAATAAAGTGTCTTACATGCACCAAAGCTGCATTTAGCTGCATTAACTCTTTTCTATTTTAATATATTTTAATATGTAATTTATTGCTGTGATGGCAAAGCATTTTTTTTCAGTAGCCAACCTGTCTTCAGGGTCACATGATCCTTCAGAAATTAATCTAATATGCTGATTTGGTGATCAAGAAACATTTCCTTATCATGATACATTTTTTTTTTTTCAGGATTCTTTCAGAACAACTTTTATTTGAAATATAAATCTTTTGTAACGTTATAAATGTACTTACTGTCACTATTGGTCCATTTAACGCATTCTTTAAAAAATTCTTATTGACCTCACTATTTTTAATGGTATACTGTACAAACATGCGCAAAATAATATCTAATACATGTATATTTCTATTGTATACAAAATACATAAATAACAAAATAAATAATAAAAATACTAAACACTTTTACTTTGTAGTTTTTTGTATTTATTATGAAAGTAATGCAATTGGAGTGCAGAGGAGTGATTATCAGTCATGTAGATATGGTGGTTTACCTGTAAAAGAGGCTTATGAAACTTGTCTGCACTGTGGCTTTTCATGCTGGTTGGATGGTTGTGTGGGTGATTTCTTTATAAACAGAAATTGTGGTTACATCTCTTTATATGTCATTCTGTTTGTGTACTATGTGTATGGCTGGATCATAAACCCATAGAGCCAGAGCTTTTCCAAAAAGCCTTTGGGAGATACCGAAATAAAGATACCCAGAGATTGGGAGGGAGGGAGCACACAGTGGGCTTTGGTTAGATCTCAGTGCTCACATGTGGTCAATCCGTTGGTGTTCCCTAAAGCCGGAAACACTGATCATTGGAGCGCTGAGGGAAGAGCAGGTGTGTGCCTTGTGTGTCTGAACCTTAATTATAAGGTCCTAATATATTTGCACAGCCAGAAGATGTATAGGCCTACATTATGGTTAAAAGGATTTGCAAAGTCCTGTGACTCTATGATGCAATTCTATTATCAATATCTAATCATGTTCTGAGAACCTCCTGATTTCAAACCAATTTGTTTAAAGCTGTAGTATACGATGTTGAAAATCAGTCGAGAAAGCCTGAAACGGGAGGGACGTTTTAAAAAACTCATCCCGCCTCTCCACACACACACACACCCCTCCCCTCTGCTACGTGATCCCTCCCGGGAAACGAATTGAACAACGTCACTCAGTCAAGTTGTGATCATCATACTTTCACAACATTGCTTAGTCGCTTCAATCACATCATATGTAAAATTGCCTTTAGACACTTGAACTTAGTTGCTTCATCAACAATTCAATGACACGTTTGAGATCACGCCAACGCAAGATTAGCAACACATGAAATGTTCTACACTACCCACCACCATAACTATGATATTAGTAGTATTGCGAAGGTTTTGAGTAATTGTTATAGCAGCATACAGCGCGTCTTGTTTAAATTCCGATCGGCTCAAACAGAAACCCGCTAGGCATACTGAAATATAATCAAGCACTTCAAGAAATATACTTTGACCCATGATAGGCGATGCTAAACAGCTAACATTCCAATGCTGACCGGCAGAATTAGCAAGTTGTCAGACTTATGTAACACTTCACGCGACTCTCGTACCATTTACGAGTATAAATAAATGTTAAACGTTACCTGCTCAACCAAATGTAAGCAGTGTCAGCATCGGTATTCAGTCCCAGATCTCGCTGAAGCTTTCTCCATCGGTCAATGGTGGACCCTATATTTATTCTCCTCAAATTTCGGCATTCTTCACATTTTCTTGTAGGGGCAATCAGGGGACGCTTGCTGTTGTCTCTTTCGTTTTTATCCATCGCTGTTATGCTACTTAACTAGCTACCATATGCGGTCAGCTGCTAACGCGCGCGATTCTCATGACGCAGAAGGGGGGCGCGGTCGGGCGTGGTCGGGTGCGGTAGGGTGGAGACGCGAGCGCCAGGCGGAGTTTCAAGTGTAGCTGGTGATTGGATGAGAGCAGTTGACCAATGTAGCTTTGCGATCGCAAAGCTTTCATTGGTCAACTTTTATGCGGCTGTACAGCCAATAGAGTGAATGGATTTTTTTCGTTCTTTTTTCTATTTATATTGTTAGGATTGTACTATATAACTGTAACCAGCATATAAACGAGGATATTAATAATGAACAATCTTTGAAATCGTATACCCTAGCTTTAAGACTGGCATCTGGCAACAGTACTGTGCGTTTTTACACAACTCATTGAACATATTGATTTGTTGGAAGATCTTTTGGGGGCAGCTTAGAATCAGAAGGGCAGTAGGCTATGTTAGAGGTTAGAACTCCACACTCCAAATGTAGATTTCTACATTTCATTTTAACATACAACGTTAGTGTTAACGCTAAAGAGAAATGCCAAGTTAAAGTTAAAATTTGACGTAATAAGAAATTTCTAATTTTTTCGTAACTAAACATTGCTTTGTAAAGTGTTTCATCATCAGGATGGTAGTAAAAATCTAATTTCGGCACGTTTACTCTTTTAAAAAAGTATTAGTTCCGCATAGTCGGACACATTTTGTCGTTGCACACAGCAGAAAGCGAAACCACTGTTTACAAAAACAAAGTTGATGACAGTTAAGTTACTAAAATCAAAGCTAGATCGCTGCTTACCGTTTGCACGACAGGTAAGGAAAGATTTATGTGAAACTGTAGATGGTAGTTTCATGTGGTTTACTTTCACAGAGCTAAAAATTAGGGAGTGTAGCAAGCTAGCTGAACTTTACACATCTGTTTGTTTGCCCTAGGGATTTTAGTGTTATTGATTATTAAAGGTAACGTTAAACGGTTAAATATGTGAAAATGAACATGTAGTGCCGTTTTGTCAGCTTACATTGATAGTTTGACAGACTGATCTCACTAAACGTTTAATTTTTGACAGCTGACAATGTTTACATGTGACAGTATCAAATGTTTTACCTTGCCTTCTATTCATATAACATGGCAACACCGTATTCGGACATATTTTTGGACATCCCAAACAGCAGCGGTATCGCTTATATGATAAGTCCCTTTTATTACCAACTGTTATATGATGATGACAACGTCCCAGCACATTTTACTTTCTCATAGAGAAAAACGTTTATATTTCGTCCTGTATTACCTTCAATAATGTTTTTTTTTTATTAATCATTTTGCTAACACTTTACAATAAGGTTCCAGTTCTACTACAATAGTTGGCATGAACTAAAGATTAAAATTACTTCTGAAGCATTACTTAAGCTAAGTTCTTTTAAGATTTACTATTACATTATTAAAATCAAACGTTATCTGTTAATATTTATAGTATAATAATATTAATAGAACTGAGTTAACATAAACTAATGAGCAGTTGCAAAGATGAATAAATAGGTGACTGTAAAGAAATGTATTTCTCATTATGCATTAACAAATGTCAACTAATGGGACCTTATTGTAAAGTGTTACCATAATGTTTAATGAAATGTTTAAAATGTAATAAAATTCAGTTTTATTTATTTAATATAATTATGACTCTTTTAGAGCAAGATTGAGTATAAATGGATGTGTTGCCTGTGACCTTATAAGAGGGGTCATAAGAGACGGTCATGATGGCGGAGGAGGCTAGTAAGCTTCCACTCCGGCGCCTGGAGCCCCCCATTCTGAAATTCATTAAAGTGGCCATCCCTACTGACCTGGAGAGACTGCACCAGCACCAACACAACATAGAAAAGGTACAAACACTCACACATGAACAGTGTCAGCGAAGCCCAGCATATGGTCAACAACACAGAAAGCCATGTGTCTGTGTGTGCGGTCACCATAGGGAGTCGAGTGCTGAAGATCTCATGATGTATCTGAAATCTCTCCCAGTCAGTCTGCTTGAGCAACATATAAAAGGGTATTGGGAGGTCTTGCATAGCCATGGAAACCTAGATGATTGTGAAATACCAGGCTGTGATGATCATGATGAGACTTTATTAAATGTCCATAAATAGTTAAAGCTGTGAAATTAATTAATTGACCTTCCTTGTTGCAGTTTCAGAGAAGCAGACAATGGGAAAAACTGCACCAAGAGCACATCAACTCAAGCCGCACTGTCCAGGTACAACAAAAGTCTTAACATAAATGAAAAACTTGAATAATAAATGAAAAGACATTTTCATGCCTGGACATGAAAGCTGAAATATTTCAGAGAATATCCAGATTTCCAGAAATCATAGAAAGAAAAAGAAAATTCAATAGTTATAATATATACTTTGAAAGTGACAATATTGTTCAAAAGTTTGAAGTCAGCAAGACTTTTTTTAAAAAAGAAATTAAATTCATTAAAATTGGCAGTAAAACATTTCTAATTACAATGTTATAATGTATAATTACAACATAATGTTTCTTGAGCAGGAAATCGGCTAATTAGAATGATTTCTGAACGATCATGTGAGTAATGATGCTGAAAATTCAGATTTGGCATCACAGGAATAAATCTCATTTTTAAATATATTAAAATAGAAAAAAAAAAATATGTTTTGTCATTACTGTTTTTGTATTTTTTTTATCGAATTAATGCAGCATGTGTGAGCATAAGAGAATTCTTACGAGAGTTTTCTGAAGTCAAAAAATGTGTGTGAGAAACAGACTGAATTTAAATCATTGTTAACTAAAAATCTTAAATTTTGTTATATCAAAACAAGAGCAGCTTGTACATTCTGCTATAAATAAGTCATCATGTTGGTCAGGTTTGATCCAGGCTAAACTAAAGGTTAAAAGAAAGCAAAGTAATCTGTGCAGCCACAAATGTATCTGAACATTATAAAAAGATCTCATATCATGCTGTCATCCTGTTCTGATACAGCTGTGAGTGTGTCTATATATATTAAGTAATGTTTGACTCAGGTCTCTGGTGTACGGTATGGTGTACGTATGATGTCTTTTCTCTTCCTAATGGCCAGACAAGCATGCAACCTGTGTGTTAATGTCTCTGAGAGTCTGTCCCCGTTTCTCTTGGGGCAGTCCTTGGAGTGTGTTATGTGCCGTGAGTGTGTGTGTTTGACCTTAGCACCCAGGTCTGGTCCCCCCAGAGATGCCAGAGAGCTTTCCTGTGTCCACCACTGCAGAGAGTGTGTGAGAGCATGCAAGTGTTTCTGTGTCAGCGCAATGTGGACGACTGACAATAGAAGGAAACAAGACAGACATTGTTAAAGTAACTCCCAGGGGACAGAAAGAGAGAGATAAAAAAAGAGGAAAAACCCTTAAGATTGCTCTCATCACACACCTATAGAAGGTGGATTGAGAGGGAGAGTCTAGTGTGTTGACCCAGATGAAGATTTATTTTGGCTGTCTTTGAGATCCTCGGTGTCCCCATCCTTTATTACACCTTAAAAAAACTACATGATTAATAATAAGTTAAGACAACTTATGTTTTTACATTGCTTTAACTCATCAATTTAAGTTAACAATTTTCAACGTCTTTTTATACGTTATACAAGATTCAACTCATTTTTTATTAAATCAGTTTAATGTTATTTAAGTTGGAATGACTTAAACATACAAGTCGATTGTACTTAAATTGAATTTAAGTGTATAAAGCAAGCTGCATATGTTAGTAATGTTTAGCAGTGTGTGTGAATCAGTTAAGAGGGATGATCCTGATGATTATTCAGAGTGTAAAATGAGTGCAGTCGAGCAGAACACTTTGATTGGCTGGCTGTTAACTTTGACCTCTGCGTTCAATGCGAATGAATTGATCTGTCCTGTCAAAGGACCTGTCAAAGCACCATTTTATTTGTTTTATTTATAACTTTGGTTTTTGTCAAGATCTAGTTTGGAATTAATGAGAAAAATAAATCATTACAGGGTTCTCATCCTTAAAGAAAACTTGAATAAACTGAAAAAGTTTGAACAAAACCCCTTTCATGTCCTTGTAAAAATACAGCATTAACCTCTTAATGTTGATCTCTCTGCTGAATTATATTCCATTGATTGAATTTTGCTGTTTGGGAGTGTAAAATCAGTGTGTCTGTTTAGAGTCAATTTGAGAATCTGCTCTGACAGGAAAAAATCCAATTATTTTAAAATAAATCTAGCGATCAATAATGAACGACTGTAAAGGGCATGGGAAAGAAATGGTCAAGATGTGTGGGAACCCTGTGTTTGTTATAAATATTTATATTTTTAATTTGAACAACGTTTGCACACTCACACAAATATGTTTAAGCTTTAAAGTTGGCATATTTAAACTTATAGTAAATAAATGTATATTTACATTCAAAGCGACTTACAATTACTATGTCAGAGGTCGCACGCCTGGAGCAACTAGGGGTTAAGTAAGTGCTAAGGGACACATTGGTGTCTCGAAACCCGGGTCTCTCACACCAAAGGCATGTGTCTTATCCATTGCGCCATCACCACCCAAAAAAAAATAAAATAAAATTTTGTCAGTGAATGAGAATGTATCTGGATAAATGTACTGTATATTTGGTTGTACTTGCATGGCGAGGAAAAAAAAGTGCGAGCAGTTTCAGATCTGCGACAGTACTGGGTCGGATGCACAGTGTTGAAATGTTACATAACCATTCAGAGTGTTATACATTTCTGATTTTTATGTACCACAGTTTTGCGGCTCAAATGTACAAGTCAATGTTGTATAGAAGGAATGTGCTAAATAGAGGTTTTGAATAAAATCATGGATCCACTTATCACACAGACTTTTTTCTTTTCTCTTTGTAGCAGTTGCGATCTAACCTGCGAGAGATGGAGAAATTGTGTGGGCGGGTCCGCAGCGCTGATGCCGAAGCTCTGGAGACGCTTGTTCAGCCAATCAGAGATCGAGCCTCCACTGCCATTCAAGAGTTCCTACAGATGCATGCGGATGCTGTCAATAGGCCTTCCTTTCACGAAACTATCGGCACAGACTTTCACGAAACTATCACCACTGACTCGGATAAATTGCACAGTATGTGTTTTCCGTTGTGTCTGTGTTTTATGAAGTTAATCAAGATGTGTGTGGTTTTTTTTAAAGCATTTTCACTTTCGTGTGATGGGTTAGGTTATGGTGAAACAGGTGTCACTGGTTCCTCTGTCACTCAAACACAGCTACTGCTGCCTGAAATCCCTTCAGAACAGAACGCCGCTGAGTCCTGGGACACTTTAGCTGAGGTAACACAAACAGACACTTACAAACACATAAACATATTTAAATACAAAAACATAAAACGTGTGTGATCGTGTTTGTGTGTTTGTTTAGGACCTGCTGGAATTAGATGGTTTAGTGCAAGAGTTCTCCACTATTGTTCATGTGAGTATCACACATCTATGGAAATTATTCAATCTTTGTTTTTTTTGGGGGGGGGGGGGAGAAGAAGGGAGAGACAGCGTGAAAGTATTTATGGTGTGTATGTGTGTTGATAAAGGGTGCTTACCAAAACCCTTAGGTTTGGCAGAGCTGTCAGACAAATGGCTTTGTTTCCTTAGAGCCAACAAGGTGGTATTATTGATCCCATCAGTGTGTGTATGTGTTTGATTGAGAAGACATACAAAGATTGGTGACAGTCTGTCAGCTATGCACTAACCAGTGAGGATTAATGAGAATCCATGCTGGATAACAGCCATTATTACACAACGTGCAACGTGCAATTGGAAACTGTGTGGAAAAAAAGAAGAGATCATGTGTTTTTTGGGATGTGCAGACAGTGTGCAGACATGAGGGGGGCAAAAGGGGGCATTACCTCCTCAGAACTGATTTGTGTCCTTTCAGTCCCAATTTGTGACCCCTACCCCCCACCAACAGAAAGCAATTTTAACCGGTAGGGTCAACTACCGATCTTCGCCTCCACAATGGCCCCTTCAAGAATAATGAATGTCCCTCCAGTTCATTTGTTCTTTCAGTCATTTAGAAATGTATAATTTATTATGTATTTATATTTATATTGACTTTCACTTCCTAGTTGTTATTTATCATCCATCCATCCTGCCCCTTTAAATATCAGTTTATTGAGTATTTTTCCTGTCATCCCACATATTTAAATCAACCTCTAAGCGTAGGGCTACAAAAACAAAATCATAATATCAGTAACAGTTGATAATGGCTGTCTCTAAACACTTCACACCCTGTAGGGGAACGATGATGGGATGTGGATGGTGGTAAGTATAAGATGATGATAGCCAGGCTTATTAGCGCTTGCCTCTCTTTAGAGGACACCCACCATATCGTTTATTCCGTTAATACTGAGCCAAAGATGAACCCAGGAGGTCTGCTTGTGTGACTGTGTGTTCTCTTGAGCATTCATACAACTTGTGAGCAGACGGTGCTGATTACCGTCTACTCCTGAGGGGAGGGAGAGAAAAAGAAAGCCATCAATAGCTTTCGTAACCAGTCATTAGTGAGTGTCTTAAAATAGTCTGTTTACATGGTTTAGTGGTAAGGTGTGATTTTATGATAATAATATAGGATTTTGATTAGTGATTCATGGTTTGGCTTGTCCATCAGTGATACATTGGATCATTATTACACCAACAGAAACCAGGTTTAATTGTAAGGTTGTTTTTTGCACTGGCCCAGTAATATTGGTACTTTACTGTATAATATGTAATATGGATTTGTATTATATGCATTATATGATCATTTATATAATAGATTATATTATATGATAGAGAGTGTGAAACATTACTGATTTCATTCCATTCTTACTAATGCTTTTAAGATCTCACAGTTTCAAAAAAACTTTTAAGTCTGCAGAATTTATCCAATACATCACAGAAAACCAAATGTTTAAAGGATTAGTTCACTTTAGAAAAAAAACTTTTGCTGATAATTTACTCACCCCCATGTCATCCAAGATGTCCATATCTTTCTTTCTTCAGTCGAAAAGAAATTAAGGTTTTTGATGAAAACATAAAAGGATTTTTCTCCATATAATGGACTTCAGTGGGAACCAAACGGTTCAAGGTCCAAAAGACAGTTTCAGTGCAAGGGCTTTAAACGATTCCAGACGATGAATAAGGGTCTTATCAAGCGAAATGATCGCTCATTTAATAAATAAACAACAAAGTTTAAGTTTTATAAGCTCAAATGCTCGCCTTGCTCTGTTCTGTGATGCACGTTTGTCACTCTCCTGTTTGAACTCGTTTATCAAAATGAACGAGTCATTTGGTTCATTCAACGAACGAAACGAACAAATTGACTCTGGAAATGATTTGTTCATTTTGATGAGGTTTTTTTAAAAGTGAACTACTCCCTCCCAAGGCATAAAATTACATATAGAAGATCAACACGTATAAGATTTAGTGGCAGCGCAGCACCGGTCTGATAGTGACAGTTCATCAACTGACCTGAAACACTCTCACACTGGCCCTGGGCCAGCAGGCCATCCTTATTGTTGAGTCCTGAGAAAGCACACTCGGACACATTTACATACACACTAATAATTTTAAAAATGAGGAGGAAGAGGAGCACTAACTTTACAGTCGCCATGAGTTGCAGAGAGCAATGCAAACACAGACTTCCTTTCACACAAACACATGCTACACAGGGGCAGGTGCCAGGCTCATGTAACTCTGTGCTAGAGAGAGTTCAAGAAGATTTTTCTCTATTGTGTGTGTGTTTATGTGTGCATGTGTGTGTAGTGATTACTTTGAGCTCACACTGATTTAGACAGAGAGACAGCTGCCACTCTTTGAATATTTCATAAGCTTCCGACAGACCACCCAGTTACCCCCGACAACCAGCCCCCTCCCATTCACCCTTCTGTCCCAGCACTCAAACCCCCAGCTACCCACTACCAAGATTACTGAGCCTGTCTTTGTCTGCTTTACTATTGCTATTTATGAGGGCTTTATGTTTTCGATGGGATAGGATTTTGAATTTTTGACATTAAATAATTGTAGACACATATATGGGCAGTTGATATGACGGCAGTTTTCTGCAGTTTGACATGCCATATAAAACTATATTTATACAGCATTTTTGTAATTTTTATACATTTTTTATTATTATTATTTATTTATAGAAATGTATTTGGTAAAACTTTATTTTACAGTGTCCTTGGTACTGTTACATGCATTTACCATAGTAATAACAGTATATTATTCATAATTACATCCTAGCCTATAGTAAGTACAGTAAGTTCATTCATATTACTCAGTACTTAAATATATAATTACACACTGTAACAATGACACCTTAAAATAAAGTGTAACCATTTATTTTAAAGCAGCACTATGTAACTTTTTCAACCTTTATAATATTTTTCCCAAACCCTGGAGATGGTACACCGACTAGGTTGAATGACAGGTCTGCCATAGCCGGACAGTGTCTGTATCGCTTTGACTGGCACTATGTATCTTCGAGGTGTGGGTAGGAACCCGAGCACAAAAAGAACTACAAAATTCGAATGCATTACAGCATACAGCACTTCCCCCACTTCCTCAAATTCCGACACGAGAGCCCAACAAGCGTTTTTTTTTTTTTTTTACCTCTGTATGTTGTCATGGCTCCGGTCCGGTGCATCAATCTTCCCCTGCCTAGCAAATGTGAAGAAAAAAGAAGTGTGTCAGAAACAGAGCGTGCGCGATCAGTTTACTGTTGGCAATGTGTTTTGTCCGCATCCAATGTAAGTTAGACTGCATTGCTTTCTTTTGAGGGCGCTTAACACCCTCAAGCATCCCCGTAGAGTCGGGGCGAGCAGCTCGCGCCAGCTCGAGACGTAAAAGTATACTGATTACTGAGTTTGGTAGTGGCTACATTCTTGCAAGTAAATAATACACGATTAGACGGACAAAATAATTGGTCACGAATAACTATCTAACTAACTATGTCTGCAGGCTGATAGTCTTGTTTGTTATTTATTTTTCTGGTGAAAGTGTCTTGCCTCAGGCTGTAATGCAAATACATTTTTCAAATTTGCAGATTCATCGATGGTAGCTTGATATTGTAATATTGACGAAATGGCTATTATCTACCACACAAACGTTGAATTGAATTAGCATATCCATTATGTAAAATAGTAGCCAATAGGCTAGCATTACTATAAAGACGCTGGCTTGTAAACGTGAGCTACGCGATCTTTTGACGTTTGAAAAAAATAAAGCCCATGAAACTATACTCATATGACATGCTAAAATATATGCCAATGTACCTGGGATGAAGACATTTCACACGCAACGCTGGCAGTCTCCCCAAGATGTGAGAACTCCTTCCTTCTGCAGAGTTTGGGAGTATCGCTTGTCAACAAATGTATTCCCTAGAGAGTAACCATGGCAGATTTTTACGACAGTAGTAGAAGACAATACTGTTTCCCAACTATAGGGGGACCCCTAGAGCAAAATTTCAAAAGTAATATAATGCTGCTTTAAATTCATACGCACTTTTAATATTGTATATATGGTCCAAAACAAATGCAAAATGGAAAAACTAAAGAGGAAAAACCTTATAACTCCAACAAATGTATATTGTCCACATATACATGTGTCTGTATATTCTTGATTAAAAGGTTCGTCCATTTATCAACTTCTCATATACACATATCTTGTTTAGACTTTTTAGGGAGTTTGTATGTCAGTATGTGGACAGTCTGTAACTTGCGTCTTTCTGTCTTAGGCTCAGCAGGAGAAGATTGACAGCATTGAGGCGAATGTTAGCATAGCAGCTGCTAATGTGGAGGAGGGGACCCAGAGCCTAGGGAAGGTAAGGGGAGAGGAGACACTCCTGCCAGGGGATCGATTCCACTCTACCCCCCTGCTTCTCTCGGCCTACCCCACCATCAGCCTATTGATCCACCTCAGAGCGCAAGGAAACCACAATTAAGAGAGAGAGAGAGAGGTGGCGGAAGGCATGGAATCGATATGTGTTGGTCGGCCCCTCACAGGGAGTCGATGTGTGTGTGTGAGCGCATGGCAGTCGAAAGAGTGTACAAGAGAGTCTATAAACAGCATTCAAGTTCCTGCTGGGGGTTCGATACATATACACACACATGCACACACTGCGGAGTGGCAACTTTTGACAGAAAAAGCAAGGGAAGGGTGAAACATGGAGGCATGGGCCGTGTGTGTTTGCGTGCAAACGTGGGGCTTGTATGTGTTTTATTGATCGAGTCTCAATTGAAATGTTTCTCTTTTTTGGAGTTGAGAGATAATGCAGTTCTATTGAGCTCTTAGTCTGACGCCTGTGTAGAAAAGTCGACCCACCTCTGTGACTGCTGAAAAGGACAGGGGGTGGTCAACACACATACACACACACTGCTAAAGACATATATTCTGACACACACACACACACAGAGTCCTTAAAGTGCTGGCTCAGGCAGATCCTAATAGGCAACAGGAGTTGCTTCCTCAATCTCTCTCTCTCTCTCCAAGCATAATTAACTGCTCAGTTAACCTTGCCTTGTGAAGATGATTAGATGACAGAGAACGAGCATGAGAAAGGGTAAGAGAGAGATGAGAAGAGAGGAAAGGTGGCGTTTGATGGACGACCCTGCCTTTAAAGTTTACATATCTCCACTAAAATTAAATTGTGTGTGCGTGTGCCGGGAGGCCTTTTTTCGTTGTGCTAATTAAAGAATAATCTAGTATTTTTCTTTTTACCTGATATCAATTCATTAACCAGGTTTGGTTTGATCTGCACACGTCCAATTTCATCGTGGCTTTTTTTTCCAGATCTCTGATTAATATTGTGCGTGTGTTTACATACGACTGCATATGTTACTGTTTGGATGGAAACTAGACATGAAAGACTTTATAATTGTATGGTTATCAGGACAACATGAAAAGTGTGCTAGTTAAAACACTGTTTTGGGATACTGATGCCGCCTAAATGATTTATTTCTCAACTGTCTGATGCTTTCCTGCACATGGCATGTAGGTTAATAAAATGAGACTCTTTTTTCTATAGCAGTTTATTCAGAAATACGCAAAAATGCTAAACTATGCATGACTTTAATACACTTTTTATATGATATTTTGATTTTTTTTTTTTTTAGGTGAACAGTAAAAACGTCAGGATGATAATTCCTAATATCAGAGATATCATAATGAATAATTTTTTTAAATATATTGTATATTTAAAAAAACTTAATACTATATTTTAAAATCTAAACATGCAGGCATATGTATAAAAACTGAATTATACTGTAGTGAGGATAATCAATAATAATTATAATAATATATATTATTAATTATTTATTACAAATATATATTTTAAAAATATATCGGCAATTATTTCTATAAATATATATATAAAAAATATTAATTGTATACAGAGAGGATAATAATAGTATATTATTACAACAGATTTTTCCTTTATTGTGGACACTCTCATTGACTCATGTATATGTTGTATTATGCTCTTTCTCTGCAGGCGGCCCGTTTGAAGCTGGCGGTTTTGCCCGTGGCGGGTGCGGTGGTAGGGGGAGTGCTAGGGGGCCCGCTGGGACTCTTAGCAGGATTTAAAGTGGCGGGGGTCGCTGCTGCAGTGGGGGGTGGACTGCTTGGTTTCGCCGGGGGCAATATTATCCAACGAAAGAGGAAAGAAAAAATCGACCTGCAGCTACAACAACTTAAGAGCAACAACAACAGTAAGAACGACACTCAGTGACACACTCAAGCACATTTGTTTTTGTTGAGGAGGCCACGAGACGGCGGAGTTGCCGACCCACGCTCGTTCTGAAATAACATCCAGACGCTCAACGAACATACATAATAACCACAACTGCAGAATAACTCCTACATGCAGTGCGAAACCTGCACATGAGATGTGCTACACCAAGTGGACCTGATAATTTTCCGTTTGCCTTAATTAATCATTAATTTCAATGCCAAAGCAAATAAGGTCACCAAACAGCTGATTGACCCTTGTAGCAGTCGTGTGACTGTAGGTGTTGGAGATTATAGGTAATAGGGGATTGTTGTGTAAGGGTTTGTTATTTGACTTTTGTACTGCAAGACATACTGTTTTACATACTGAGGATTTACAGTCAGTGACATGGTCCTGTTTATTACAGTTATGAAGGTTTTGTGCTTAATGTTACCATTCACTACACAATTCCATTATAAACACTTAAAATGCACCTGCTCTGTTTTAGCTACGATGGATTTCCTTTTTAATTTTGTTTAGCGTGTTATGAGTAGATATAAATGGAACATCGATGGTATGTGGAGTATTTTATAAGGTTTGTATGCATCACAACAGTCTTGGTATGGGTATGAGAATCGAGGCAATGCACAGTAGTGAGAAACTCAGTACACTATAATAAATAATAGTAACACATCATCATTATCAATGAGAAATTCTGAAATTAAAATGAATGTCTAGTTTCAATCAATACTTGTTTTGCCTTAACTAATAGATAATAATGTCTCAGGCTGCTTAAAATAAATAAATTGTGATGACACTTAATAAGCCATTGTAATGGATTATTACAAGTTAGATGATTGTTTAAATATAATACAGACAGAGGAGATCGTTATAGCAAAGTAACTGTACATATTTACAAGATAAGTTCAATTACAACTGCTCATTGAGGAAGCTGTAACAGTGGAAATACAATTGAAATGTTTTTAATGTATAATTTTTTATGGCAATTTTTTTTCATCATTTACTTCCCTCAAGTTGTTCAAATACTGAATTAAAGGGATAGTTCACTTTGAAATTAATTTTTGATATGTTTTACCTTACCTCAAGGGTGTCTTTGTTTCCACTGCATTTTCAATTTTGAAATTTTTTGGTCAAACCGTTGTTGTTTGTCAGTCATTCTCTGGAGGTTAAGGGCGTCCTCCCTCAGTTCACCTCAAAGCGCATGCACAGAGAAGTCAAAATTAAATATGATTTAATGACTCGTAAATGTAAGTATGGCCTAAGACACGAAACGAGCGGTTTGTGTGAGAAAACAAACAGTATTTATATCGTTTTTACCTCTTGTTAATAGCCGTCAAACTGATCTGAATCAGATGTCCAACTGAACCGTCTCCACTCCAGACGTTACGCCGCAAGTGATCCCTCGCGCGTCTATGTCACGCATTGTTTACACGGAGATTTCGGAAGTTCTACCTTTCACTAAACATATTTAGATACACGGGAATTCGATATATCTAAATACGTTTAGTGAAAGGTAGAACTTCCGAAATCTCCGTGTAAACAATGCGTGACGTAGACGCGAGAGAGATCACTTCCGGCGTAAAGTCTGGAGACTGTTCAGTCCGGTTCAGTTGGACATCTGATTCAGATCAGTTCGACGGCTGTTAACAAGAGGTAAAAACGATATAAATACTGTTCGTTTTCTCACACAAACCGCTCGTTTCGTGTCTTAGGCCATCAGTGTGTACTTACATTTACGAGTCATTAAAGCATTTTTAATTTTGACTTCTCTGTGCATGCTCTTTGAGGTGAACCAAGGGAGGACTCCCTTAACCTCCAGTGTATGACTGACAGACAACAACGGTTTGACCAAAAAATGTCAAAATTGAAAATGCTGTGGAAACAAAGACACCTTCATCTTGGATGCCCTTGAGGTAAGCTAAAACATATCAAAAATTAATTTCAAAGTGAACTATCCCCTTCATTTCTTTGTTCTGCTGAACACAAAATGAGATGTTTAAAATGTTGGCCACCATTGGCTTACATACAATGGAAGTCATTGGTGCCCAAGAACTGTTCTTCAAAATATCTTCCTTTGTGTTCAGCAGAAGAAAATAAAATACAGGTTTGAGGGCAAGTAAATAATGACAGAATTTTCATTTTTGGGTGAACTATCCCTTTAATACATGTGATCGAGATACTTCTGATTAAAAACACTCAGGTTTAGATAAAACAACCTTCTAAACTGTGGCTGTTCTTGTATTTCGTGTGTCTTTCTGTGTGGCTGATAGATTTGGCTGAGGTTTCCCTGTAAGGCTTTGATAACACAAGCCTCTGAGAGGCAAATCTAATACTGAAATCAATGCACTGTGAGAGACCTCCTTCAGCACAAACAACATTTGAATGTTATTTGATTACGGCCCCAAAGGACCAGCAGAAAAGAACAATAGCCTTTTATGGTTTATCGATCCTTATTTTACTTTCAATTGTCAAAAGCAAAGCGGAAAATAAAATATTGTCTGCTGTCAAACACTCGTTCAGTCCTTTTGCAGTACCGACTCGCGCAAAATCGTTTATCAGAGTTAAAAAGCATGCAGCTCCTTTGGAAAGCTCAAAAAGCGGCAGTTATTTAAAAACCAACTTCTCGTTTTTGAAAAACAATGTTGAATCTGATTGTTTTTGTCCTGACTTGGAGCTGCGTCTGCTGCCCCCGGTCTCACGCGTTGTTTTTAGGGTGAGCAGGGGGATCCCCTCACAAACACAGAGCTGGGTCTAAGACCCACACTGGCCCCCACGCCTTCCTCATAACACAGCACACTGGACTTCCCCTACGAAAGGGGCGAATGAACGTCTCCAACAGCACATGCAAGCCACCCTGTGCATGATGCTTAAGAGAGATAGCCAGAGTGCTGAGCTCTGCATGTGTTGGGCTGTGCTGCTCAGGGAAGGAAAGTCCCGTGAGACTGACCTGCACACAGTCAGACACATCGCACTTTCCATATTCTGTGCGTACACACTCGCACACCTAAATGGAAAACATGGCAGGCCATCTGTGGTGCGCTGTGATGTAATCTCCAGAGGTGTTGTGATGTCATGGGTTCCTGCTGTAGGTGGGAAGATGTTACATGACATCAGAGACCCTTTTTTTCTTGTGTCTCCTTTAAACACCCACTTCAGATCATTTCCATTTTACTATAAAGAAACTGAAGTTAAAAGTAATCTTTGATGTCTGGCGATAAGGATGGCGGGGTGAAACCATCGTCACTCTATGTCAGCTTCCCTTTAAGTTAGAAAGAGTTTATAGTTAAACTCTCTCAGTTGAATATGCTTTATATTCAAAGCTGTTTTCCCACACTTTTAAATACAACCTATATTTTGAGAAGCCTTAAATCTGCCTGCTGTTATAAAAACTAAATATTAAACAATTTGGGGTATTAATTAATAAATGTTCGCTATAGGTAACATTCTCTGTTACTGAGCTGGTTACTGTTACTGTATTATTTTTTTTTTCATAGATAATAGTTTAGAGATAGGTCACCCAAAACTGAAAATTCAGTCATCATTTACTCAGTCATCAAACCTTTATGAATTTTAGTCCAGGGAACACAGATGTTTTGAAGAATGTTTATGAGAACTGTTTCTGTCCATTTAATAAAAGTCAATGGGGTCCAAAAATAAAACATTGGATTGCATCCTCTTTCAGTGTATGGACAAAAACACTCAGACATTTTTTACTATATTTCATTTTATGTTAAAGGGACAATGTGTACTTTATGTATTTTAATATTTAAAATCAATATTTGTATTCATAAATATGTCCTAAATGGTGGTAAACGAAGAATTTATTATCTTTATATACATGGGACGGGTAGGTCCACGGAGGCTTCCATGTAGTTCCGCCATCTTGAAAAACTATAATAGCAGAAAGGGACAAAAAGTACTGGGCCAACGCGCTTCCACAACGCGTTCTCGTTCAGAGCCAGCATCACGTAACTGAAAGCAGCAGAAACGGGGGAGCAGAGCAGAAGTCCAAAATCGATCGTAAAAGGAAACGCGATTACAAAAAACACAGGAAGATTCAATTAAATTCAATATAATTTGCTTTCCAATTATCACCTACTAACTTTTTAACTTTTATGAAATATTTTTTAATGTATATGGCATGCGTAATGTGACCTTGGAAGAGCAAAATTAGAAAAAAAAAAAAATATTTACAACAGTGAAACATTTAATGAAACAGACAAAGTAGAATCTTGTAAAATGTTTTTAATTTACTTTTCTTTTTTTTGGTTTCCTTGTCCCCTCTGAGATGACAGATTTACAAATAATCCTCACCCTTCTAACTCCGGTCCCCTCATAACCCCGCCCCTGACCACTCCCCCTGATGGAATGGGATGATATGAAACTAGCCAGTCTGGATCTTAGCGAGCATGAATTTGAACAAGTCTGGAACGGTACAGTGCATATGAATACAGACTAATAAGCACATGTAACATACATGTGCTGTAACACACACACACGCACACACACACTCACTCAATCACTCACTCTCACAAACACGCTTGTTAAAGACTGGACGAAACACCACAGGTTGACTGCAGGTTTGTTCTTGGACTACATTTTCCCATGATTCCACTTGCCCGCATTGAAGATCCATAATAAACTCAATGTGCATTCCCAACAAAGAGGACCACCAATGTACCAATGTTTTTTTTTACAAAAAAGGGGACTTGGGTAGACAAAAATGTAGGGAAGAAAAAAAAAAAAGAAAAAAAAAAGGGGGAGAAAAAAATGTTTTTAATTTAGACAAGACCCACAGAGCACAAACATATTTACAAGCTCCAAAAACAAATGTAAAAACGCTACTCTTCATTCCCCACCCCAAAAAAAGCTCAGGGGTTCACCTTCTCACTTTTTTTTTTTTATCTAAATAAAAATTATGAAAATAGACGTTGCACAGACAGCGGCGGTGCCAGGTTGGCACCAGCTGACTGCAGGGTTCTGGGTTGGGTCTCAATGCAGTTGTGTCATCACAGCTCGTCCCGGTCCCTGAGGATGGTGTAACGTGTTTCACTGGGGGCCAATTTCTGGAAGGAACTCTCTGGGGGAGGACTGCCCCCGTCTAGTTCCGGCTGGAATACACACGCAGACAGACAAATAAACAACCACAAATCTCGCCTAGATCTGTAAAGTGAATGTTCACACACACAGTCATTATACCCGGACCACGGATAGATGGATGTGTTCCTGTGACAGATCGCTCTGCACACAGGTCACCGGGTTCATTCAGCTGTGCACGCATTCAAATGTCAGCACGTACGTATCATTCAGTCATTGTCTTAATTAATGTACGCCTGCATTAATTAGTCTAGTTCAACACATTCTTTTCAGAGATTTTGACCAAGAAGTGTGCTGAACTCGCAACCCGTCATAATGGTGCACTTTAATCAGTGCAAAATTGGACAACACTGATTTTCAGCAAATGTCATGCACAAGCCAAACAGAGAAACTGATTATTAACTAACAGCATAATGATGAGCTGTTATGTACAATATGTAATTTGTTAAGGGAAATGAGAAATTACAAGCATTAATACCGATTTAAAGTACATGCGTATTACACTAGTACCATTCAAAAGTTTGGAGTCAGTAAAATACTTTTATTCAGCAAGGATGCATTAAATTAATAAGAAGTGATAGTAAAGGACCTTTATATTGTTAATTACAAATATTTCAAATAAATGAAATAAAATAAATTTCAAATAAATTTCAACGTTCTAGTCATCATGTCATTCTGAAAATCATGGTTTCCATAACAAATTAGGTACAGTAGAAAACATTTGAAGTGGGTCAAAAAAGTTCATGAAAGTTGTTCTAAGTACTAAGTAATTCATGATGAAAGGTTTTGATCCACTTAAAATGTTGACTACTGTAATGAGTAATAAATTAAGCAGGACAATTGTGTTTCAATATTGATAATGAAAAATGTTTCCGGAGACCCAAATCATCATATTAGAATAATTTCTGAAAGATCATGTGACACTGAAGACTTGGAACAATGATGCTTTTCCATAAGAGAAAAAAAAATATTTGGATAAGTAGTAAAAGTTTTTTTGGGGGAAAAGAATAATTGATTTATTTTGTTTTCGTGATCAATCACTGCCTACTTATCCAAGTTTTACACACATTCCAATTAAAACTTTTTTTTTTATATGATGGCAACGCCCAACTCAGATCCCTGTTGTAAATCAAAAGCACACTCATGCAGCAGATGTGGTGAACTCTGACCTGTCCTGGAGTGCTGTCTGTTGGGTCTGGGCCATGATGGAACTCTCTGTGTAACTTTCCTGAGTGCAGGTCCAATACAAACTGCCTCAGCTTTCCTGGAACCCTGTTCATACACGCAAGGCATCATAAAACAGTCCAAAAAAACAAACAACAAAAAACCCCAAGCAGCATCATTGATTTAATGAGTGATAAGACCCCGAGAGGGGCCGACAGTCTCCAAAACCACAGCATTTTAACAAGATAATGACATCATCTGTACTGCCCCAGACGCCACGAACCCCCTGGAAAATCAGCTGTATCAAAGCCTGATGGGAGGCAGGCTGATAAGGCCCTTATTGGATAATAGGATATGCAGAGTGCTTAATAAAATAAGGCATGTGCTGAATTATGATGCTTTCTGTCATATGCGGCCCCTGGTGTCATAAATAATTGTGATGTTGTAATAAAGTAGTAATAACATGGTTATGAACCTATGAAAACTAAGCTTCAACGTTCACACACATTAGCTATCAGTCAGGTGCGGATAACTGGCGTAACTGGCTGAGATGAAGCCCAAAGGCCGTTCTCTATCACTCTCTTTTTGAGCATGTGCTGGTGCGGAACCGAGTCTATAATCATCATATAATTGCTAGGTGTCTGGAAAAAGAGATAACCTGCATGGAGGAGGCTGAATTATTCATCTCTGCGTTAAAGACGCACGGACAAGTGCAATACTTACGCAAGGTCGCTGAACTCTGGGAAGACATACATGTGGCGGAAACTATCGATGGCAATTACAGGGCAGTCAGCGGGGGTCTTCTGAATGTGCAGTAAAGGGTGCCGGAACTTATCACAATCTGCATGAAGGAAATTTATTGAACCTGCCAGAGAGAAAGAGAGAGTCAAGGTCAATTTGGATGTTTAAAACCTTGAGAGACCATCATTTTTGCCAACAAAAGTATATTTGGATTAGGATTGTGCAAAACTCATTGGTGGGTTATCTGAACGACTAATTGATTAGGCCCCGATTAGATTAGGCGATCACGTTGGATGTGTTATTGCATTCAGAAATGGCTAGACTAAGCACAATAAAATGGAACACAGCTTGAAACGTTTTAGCCCTTCCTGGGCTGCGTTTCCCAAAAGCATTGTAATCCTAAGTAGATCATAGATACAATTGTTGCCACTGATCTACTAATTGATCTATTTAGGTTTACAATGCTATGGCGATGCTATGTCTTAAGGCCTGCTCACACCAATACAAACGTCTATGCAATTTAAAGGGTTCAGACCGATGTGTAAAAATCAATAAAAAGATGAAATTACTCAGACTTTTTAGAAGCCTTTGTGCTTGTCACAGAGAAGGTGAAACAATATTTACATTTCAAACAGAATGTAAATGATTAATTTAAAGAAGCAACTTTAATCAGAGGGTTTTATTCATTCAATGTTACAACACTGACGTTAAACGGATGATTTATGATTTAACCATTGATGTTAGTCAACCTCACTAACTGATCGATTTGTTAACTTGTTGGCCAAGCCCCATCCAAAAATCGGTGTTCACACACATTTTAAACAATTTCCATAACCATTCCAGTCTTTTATGAATACAGTATTTGATTTGTTCGACTGGTTAGTAACAAATCATTCAGACCAATTTGAATTTGTGAATATTCTTTGAAAATGAAAATTCCCAAAGTAAATGTAAAAACAATGTAAAAAAATATATTGTTTTTCTGGAACCCATTCAATAGAACTATACAATAATAATACATCTTTTTTTAACATTATAAAAATAAAACATTTGGATTTTGGATTCATGAGAGGTTTGCGTTCCTGTATTATACACGCGGGCGAATTATGAAAGATGACCCTGATGCTGTCTGGCCCCGGTACATACCCTTTTCACTGATAAGCTGGCGAGCCACCTCCTGCTGAAATTTCTCCAGACTCTCGGTGTCATCCCTCTGATGGAAGAGGATCAGGAACGGGATGCCCTCCTCAGTCAGTTCCTTCACAAACACACAAAAACACACAGTTTAATCATAGACCAGCAGAATGATACAAACAGTGAAAAGTCCAAGAGATGTTATTCATAAAATGAGGGCCACTGGATTGGTTGTACTGGTTCGAGGCCTGGAACTAAGTGCTGTATAATGAGTTTTGAGAGTGTGTAGGATGGCTGGGTGAAGTGCAGTCGAGGAGAGGTGGGTCAGTGGAGCAGATTGTGGAGAATCTGCCATATCACCAGGCAACAGAGACTGAAGTTATTCAAAACATGTGGTCAAGTAAATCAAAGAAAAAAAACCCACACCTACTAAAGGACATGGCATGCGGACGTCTTTAAAACACAAACACACTTGAAACGTACACACTCGAGCGTGGGAAAAGTACACTGAGGGGGAGGGGACTTTTCTTATGCAAATGATGAATTGGCTGTTCGACGGAACTGTACACAAATAACAATGCGGACAAAATGGAAAGGAAGTACATGCGATACCTCACATAGACACACCAAAATATATTTCAAGAAAGGGAATCATACCTCTCCATTTTCAAATGTGATTTCTCGGACTAGCGGCACACACTTGTCCTGTGTCCAGGCATAGCTGAGGTCAAAATTTGTGAGCGAGCCCATGTAGACCATGTCGGGAGCATTCTCTCCCATTGGCTTATAAATAATATTATCACCACTGAACCGCTCAGGCTTAGAAACTTCCCTGAAAAAAGAGATGCATAGAAAGAATAAGACTGGTAATGAAGTAGGACTGAATTGATTCTGAAGAAACATTTCACCCAAAATGTAAATTCGATCATTATTTACTCCCCTGCCATACTTCTATTCATACTGAATGCAGGCAGTCAAGCTCCAAAATGGACTAAACAGCACCATTAAGAAATCATTAAAGTAGTCCATATGATTTGTGCTTCTTCAGAAGCCATATGGTCACAACTGTATTGTTGTATGGAAAAGAGCTGTGAAGATTACTAAAATAAATAAATAAATATATAACAGTATACAGTTTGATATAACACAAGGGTGAGTAAATGTCAGAATTTTTATCTGAAACAGAACTGTCCCTTGAAAGGCCCAAGGGACTTCTTATCTATCAGTTGTTGATTGGATAGAGGCAGATATGAATGAAAGATTGCAGTTGATTGCAAGAAAGGGGCAGGGCTTATGCAGACTAAATGATTGAAGATTGAATTTTACTTTTTAGAAACATATGCATGGATAAATCATTCACAATAAGATCACTACATGTATTTACAAAGCAACAGACTTTAAGTATCTTAAGTGCTTCTCCTACCCAAAAGATGCCAGGAAAACACAGTCATCTCTGAGGATGTTCGCCACTTTCTCATAAGTACGGTAATTGTCTGAGTCTTTACTCTCAAAGTAACCAATGATGGTGCGTCTACTCCTCTGAAAGAGAGGAAGGATGCAAGTAAGATGACACAGCAAGGAAATCCAGACTCCACGTCATTCTTAGTTACTAAACCTGAAAAGCATTTCGACTTAAAATGTGACACAATGTGATTGTAAAACACTCACATCTACAGTGCTGATTTCCTCCAGATTTTCAATCACTTTGATTGGATCCACTTTCTGCTGGCGGATGAAATCAGCGATGGCGGTTACTGACCTTTGACCTCTGTACTCTCGCTTCATCATCATCCCATTTCTGAACAGTTTGAGTGTGGGGTATTTGCTTATCCTGTAGCGCTGGGCTATATCAGCTATCAGGAGAAACAGAACAAAAACAGCAGCCGTTAGTCCAGTCGTCAGTGTCACATGATCATTCAGAAAACATTATAAGCTGATTTGGTGCACATTTCTTATTATAGTCAATGTTCAAAACAGTTGTGTGGCTTAATATTTTTGTAGAAGCTGTCAATTGTTTTATGATTATTTGATGAATAGAAAGTTCAAATGAACTTTAAAGAAAGAGATAAACATATTTGGTAAAATTAGATTAGCTTTGCCATCACAGCAATAAATTCGATTTTAAAATGTTTCAAAATAGAAAACAATATTGTTTTTACTGTATTTTTGATTAAATAAACGCAGTCTTGATGAGTATGAGAGACTTTTAAAAAAACTAAAACATTGTAATATTTCCAAACTTTTGAGAGGTAAATGTAGATACCTAAAGGTGACCATCTAAAGGTGTGTTTAAATCAATGAAAACCAACAGAATCACACCGATTTTTGTTTGGCTTGTAACATAGAAGGATGAGTTTTAGGACCCACATGTAGAAGAACACTTTACCCTTCCAGATACTATGCTTTTGAAGAACAAAATGTGTCAATCCATGAATATTTTACTTTTGAGGTTATGAAAGAGAAAGATCAAAAGGTGAGAGATAGGCTCGTTTTAAATAGAAAGATGGTCTCAAGTCAAAGTACAGAGACAAAAAAGGGAAAGAATTAAAGAAAGTAGAGACAGAGAGAAGGCAAGAAGGAAAGGGGGGAGGGTCCGAGAAATGAAAGTCAACCAATGTGGGGGGTAAATACACCAAAGCCGATCGGCTGGAATCAGTCATGCGAGGTCTCTCTCTCACACACACAGCCACACCGTGGGGTATCTTTGAGCCGCCTTGACTTCACAGAAGATGCAGTTTTGTCATTAAACCATCAAACACTTTACAAGACATCAATAATTCTGTTTAATTTGCTTTATCTCAAAGGCTAAACCAATGTGTGTGTGTAAACTCACAGTGCTGGTCACAGTCCACCCTGGCAAACACCACCTGTGTAGCGTCTGGATATTCCTCCCGCACTATGTTCGACGACTCCTCAAAAATAGGGTGAAGCATCTGACTGAAACGACACCTGCGGAAAATACATACAAATAGAATGACTCCAGATACAGATAGAATATTTCAGGTCTGTTCATTCCGTGTAATAAGCAGTACAATACGCTTTTTATAATATCATCATCATCAACTTATGTAAAGGGTACATATCATGCTTTTAAATCGTTCCTTTAACATATAAATCATACATTTGTGGTCTATATAAAGCGAAACTGCAATGCTTGGGTCTGAATTCCTCATTATTATAGCTCCACAGGCCCCTATTCTACCCCTTTCTTGATGTGCGTCTGTGGGCCACTCATTTTGGAGCGGTCTCTTTAAATGCAAAGGAGATGTGTAATACCCCGCCCGCTCTCCAGGTTGCGAGATGGTCCTCACTGCAGAACACAAAATCCATGTGTTTTTAATCCTGATTTTTAGACCGAAAGTAGTTTAGCCTATAAGGCGAGAACCTCTAGGTTATAAAACGGGGAGGCCCAGTCTCCCACCAAACAGATACGCTGCAAGATAATCCCGCAATACCAAGCCCATGACGAGGCCATGCCTCTTGTGGAGTGCGCTCTAACACCTAAAGGAAACTTCAATCCTTAAGATGTGTATGGATATATCATGCACCACTAAGCAAATCAACTCTCATCACTCTATCTGACAAACACACATCTGGAGCCGTTAATCTGAGAGACACTCACCAGTCTGCATAGAAGTTGACTAGAGCCACCCCTGCACTGTCTGTAGAGAGAAACATGTGGTTTAATCACATTTGATCTACTACAATGACAAAGCACCATTGGATAACTGACACCCACATGCACAACACAGGTGCAGTAACTGTCTGATTGAAACAGCCTCCTTCAAACACACAAATAAACAAGGTAAGAACTCACTAAGGATGTCATCGATGTTTCCAGAATCCAGACTTGTTATTTCTCCTCGTCCGGGAGTATACAAACCCGTTACCTGCCAACAACAGAGGTGGTTTATTGGTAAACATTGTGTGTGTGTGTGTGTGTGTGTACTGTGTATGTGAGTAATAACAGTAACAGTGTGCATAAAAGAGCCAGTGGTAAAATGGTAAATGGACTGCATTTATATAGCGCCTTCATAGACCTAATGGCCACCAAAGCGCTTTACATTTTGCCTCACATTCACCCATTCATACACTCATTCACACACCGACGGCGGTGTCATCCATGCAAGGCGCCAGCCAGCTCGTCGGGAGCAGCTGGGGTTAGGTGTCTTGCTCATGGACACCTCGACACTTGGTCAGGTGGAACCGAGGATTGAACCACCAACCTTTCGGTTCGTAGACAACCCACATGAACCACTGAGCCACTGCCGCCCCACGGTAAATCATTATGATTAGACAGTCATACTCATAATCTATAATCACTCTGATACAAAAAAACAAAACACCCCTAGGTTTTCATGCAGGTCCCAAAATGAACCCTAGGCAAGCCCAGAATAAGAATAAAAATGGTCTTAGAGTGGAATTATAAGAATCAGATTTTCTGGAGTGATGTGAACAATTCACGTTAAAGGGAAACTCCACTGTTTTTTCATATTAAACTATGTTATTCCCTTAATACCACAGCAAGCGCTTGGGAGCACTTCGACTCGGCGCAGTAATATCATCACTCTTGAAAAGTCCTCTCCCCCCGCTCACTCTCCGAGTGATGATATTACTGCGCCGAGTCCATAGATAAATATGCGCCGAGTCGAAGTGCTCCCAATAACTTGCTTATCCAATTCACAGGCTTAGAAAAGCACAACGTTTTATCTTTGTGTCACCGTCCTAGCTAGGTCGAGTTACTCTACTCGTGCAACTGTATTTAAATAGGGAAAACGTGGAGGTGTTTGGTCACTTCTCTGCTTGGCCCATATTGAATGAACTGGGCTAACTAAGTGCTATTAAAGTGTCTCGCGAGTCAGAGTGATTGAGTGCATGCACTGAGATGAGAGAGGTATGTATCGACTCCTCTAAGTTAAGGGAATAACATAGATTAATATGAAAAAACGGTGGAGTATCCCTTTAAGTAGAAGAAACCATCTACTACAGTAAACATCTGTTGTGACTCATGCAACTTTTAACAACTTAACTAAATTTACTATCATAATAACTTTGCCCATTTGGAGAACATAAATAACAGAATTTATCATCTTAAAATATTTTTAAACAAATAAACAATTACATAAATATTACATAGTTATATATTTAAAGCCTTGAAAAGTTGACATGTGTTTGTTATGAAATATGTTTAAAAGTACAGAATTGAGGAGTGAAACGGGAAACTAACGATAACCTTAATAACATTAACATCATCAAATGGGACACAACAAACAAATACAAATAAGCATTAAGCAAAAAATATGGGATAAAGTCAGACAAACAGGAAAACAGATTTCATTATACTATCATCAGTCCAGGCAAAACTATAGAATATCAACATATGAAGAGTTCAGATGCAAAAGCCTCTAAGTGCCATTTGAAATTTTCTTCTAGAATGATCATTTTTATCAAGCTTTTATATTTAAGTTCAGTGATTTCACTTAAATGGCAATGATAATTACCTATTAATTGTTATTTAAGTGAAATTACTGAACTTAAAGGGTTAGTTCACCCAAAAATGAAAATTCTGTCAGTATTTACTCACCCTCATGTTGTTCCAACCCCGTAAGACCTTCGTTCATCTTCGGAACACAAATTAAGATATTTAGGATATTAAAATCGCTCCTGCATACAGTCCATAGGCTTCTTGAGGGACTGGCTCTTGCTGTCCTCGAAAAGTAATTGAAGACATCGTTAAAATAGTCCAAGTGACTACAGGGGCTCAATCTTAAGTTTATCAAACGACGAGAACACTTTTGTGCGCAAAAAAACAACAAAAATAACGACTTTATTTCAACTATTCACTTCCTTCTCCATAAGCCTATAGTCCGTTAACGTAGTGTGATTGCGTAGAGCTACGTCACACGTAGGCTCACTATTGGTCGACGCTGGTCATGTGTGTGTGATGCGTGTGACGTACAATAACAGAAGCTTACGCTATTAAACTAGTTAGCTGACTCGCGCAGAGGGAGAAATAAACGAATAGTTGAAATAAAGTCGTTATTTTTGTTGTTTTTTTGCGCACAAAAGTGTTCTCGTCGTTTGATAAACTTAAGATTGAGCCCCTGTAGTCACTTGGACTATTTTAACGATGTCTTCAATTACTTTTCGAGGACAGCAAGAGCCAGTCCCTCAAGAAGCCTATGGACTGTATGCAGGAGCGATTTTAATATCCTAAATATCTTAATTTGTGTTCCGAAGATGAACGAAGGTCTTACGGGGTTGGAACAACATGAGGGTGAGTAAATACTGACAGAATTTTCATTTTTGGGTGAACTAACCCTTTAAATATACAAGTTTGATAAAAATCATCATTAAAGAAGAAAATTTCAAATGGCATTTAGAGGCTTTTGCATCTGAACTCTTCATATATCAATATAACAAATCAATCATAGCTAAATACATCATGTGACTTTTTTTTTTTTACAACTAATGTGACATTTGAGAAATGGAAAGTGAATCTTTGCTGACCAACGTGCAGGTTATGTGTCCAAGCCAACAACATGCAAATTGTGGTTTCACTACATTCCCAAATAAGTAAGAAAATGTGCTTGTAACAACAGTCCATTCACTCCAGCTTATATTTAATTATTTGTCATAATGAGATAGAAGACTGAGAATGAGTCGAATTTATATATTAAATTAAAGCTGCAAGCAGCATTTAGCGGGGTTCAAGCAGTTTAGGCCTTTAAGGCCTTTAAGCACAAAAGCATCAAAAGACATTAAGGTTTAAGTTTCAATAATGGCAATTTACCATAGGGAATACATTGTTTTTAACATTTTTAACAGTTATAGCGCCACCTATAGTCCGATCTCCATGAAACTTTGCATGCTTATTGAATACGTTATGACACATGTGCTCATCAATTTTTGTGAAGTTCTGACTTTTCCTTTAGGATTTATAGGCTTTTGGGTGCATTTTGTCATGCCCCCTTTTATAAATGACCCTGTTATAGCAAAACAAATGACAAAGTTCAACTTTTTTGGATAATTATTGATCTAGAGAGTCCAAAGAATTGTCCCAGACTGGTCTGGTTCCAATCGGGCAAAAAACCAGGGACTAGTTCGCAAAAGTAGGTTTTTAACATATTCGTGAATATTTACCGAACGATTTGATTGACAGCAATGGTTCTTGAGGCAAAGTTGTTCAGCATGAGGAGATCTATCAATTGATATACATATTATGGGGGTGTGTGCAACACCACGTGATAACAGAGCCATAAAACTCGTTAGCGCCAACTAGTGGCCGATTTCTTTCAAAATTCTTACAGACCTCTAGGGCCATGAGTCAAACATGCCCAACGAGTTTCGTTCCGATCGGCCTTCGTTAACCTTGTTTTATAGGTGCTCAAACTTCATTGGCCGATGGCGGCCATGTTTTTTGAGATACACCAATGTCCTCATACACATACATGGGGCCTTGGACAAAGACACTGCATACCAATTTTCAAGTCAATCGGACTAACGGTCAGCTGGTCAGAGCCTTTTTTAGTTTTATTCGTTTTATAGCGCCACCTAGTGTTCCATCGTGGCGATTTTTTTACTGTGACCTCAAATTGAGCTTATACATATGTGTACCGAGTTTGTTGAAGGATATCTCATTTACTTCTCGAGTTATAGCCATTTTAGTAAAATAGGCTCCTCCCACAACATTTATTTTGCGCCCCCTAGCGACCGCAAGAGACTTTTTCAACATTTTTTTGATAATTATTGATCTTCAGACTCCAGAGAACATTCCTGCACTGGTTTGGTTCCGATCGGGCAAAAAACCAGGGACTAGTTCGCAAAAGTAGTTTTTCGACAAAATTCAAAATGACGGAAAATCTATCATGACGGAAATGAAATCGGAGATATACATTTTTTTCATCAGGCGACCAGCTTTCCAATGATATAAGACACTTGAGCGTACGACTTACGGTCTAGGAGTTATGAGCAGTTTCGCGCAATTGGTTGCTATAGCGCCACCTATGGGCCAATCGGGGTCATAATTTGATAACCTCTCCTCGATTTTTGTACTACCATCTGACAAAGTTTCAGAGCTCCAGCACTTACGGTTTGGGCTGCACGATGCGTTTTAGGGGAGAATAATAATAATAATTAAAGCTGCAAGCAGCATTTAGCGGGGTTCAAGCAGTTTAGGCCTTTAAGGCCTTTAAGCACAAAAGCATCAAAAGACATTAAGTTTTATGTAGCAAGCATTATTTACCATGATAAACCATATTTCAATGTAATTTTTCATGATTTACCATGTTCTAGTATGATTTTCCATGAATCTAACATGATTTTCCACAGTTTACCTTGATATACCATGTTATAGGATGGTTTTACCACAATATAGAAAGAAAAGTGGCCAGCAGAGGGCAGTAGAAGACCACTTATTGGCACACTTCCATTTTGAAATACTTTGTTTCTCCAATATTCTGCACTAAAGCAAACCATTTTTTCATGTTAACTTCATAAAGCATGCTTACACACAAACGCACGCACACACACACACACACACACACACACACACACACACACACACATTTATAGTGTGTACAGTATATGTATAGTATGACTGCAAAACATTAACAAAAAATAATTTGTTAAATAAATTAACTATGCAAAATATAGTGTGTACTAGGGTTGGATCCGAATACGGTTTTCGGAAAGGCACAAATAATGTGTTTTTTACGAATAATTATTCCGAACAAAGACTTAAAAAAATATTTGTGTTTGGGAACAAGACGTACTGTATGTCAAAAAGCTGCGTTCCTCATGAGACTGCAGTGCGCGACTGACACAGGCTGCTCCACACAGCAACAGAGAGGGCTCGGCTGAGCGAAAAAACACTTAACTGCATCACTATTTTTGTTGAATAAATGTTTGTACCTTAACT